GGATGGTTTAGGGCCACAACTCCCTAGGTACTTAGGTGCTGAGTCGTGCCACGACGGGAACTCGGTGAGACCGATATCGACACTAGCAACGGTGAGAACCCGTTTAACATATGCCCAAGGTAACTGGGCTTAGTAGCTTGTTAACGTAAGTAATTGTAGGTGGTTAACCTAGAAATACCTATTAATGCATCGAGTATCAACCCACAACGCCGGGACACATCGAGACGGTTAGTTGTCGCTGGAGAAATGCGTCTGTTGTAACTTGATGTGACATCAACGGACAACTCATCAACATCGGCTGGGCCAGTTTGATGGGGCCTCCCACTAGACAGGGTCTTCAATCTTGCTTTTTCTTTTCTTCTTGCAGGATACGGGTGAGAGGTATATTCACCGATTGAGAATTCTTAATTATTCAAATACAGATCTCATAACTGTACGCTCTTGAGAGAATGGAGTTAGTTTTTGGACTTGGACCAGGAACATGTTTTGAAAACTTCTGAAAATGGCCCAAGTTGAAAAGTCGAAAGTGGAGAATTGAATTCAACTAGGAAGTCGAAAATCGTAGATGCAAGGCACGGTTGCAATTTGTCGCATATATTAAGTAATGATATTTTATGACATTACAAGATACCTTTGGGTCATGTGGTTAGGTAATTTGACACAATTTTTGCTCTTAGCTATGGTTGATGTCATACCTTTTTTCAACCAATGAGATTAGATAAACCTGGTAACTAATCCATGCTTTAAGATCCTGTCCCCGCATGAGCTTCAATGCTTGTAAGTTTTGTCCAGACATCTCCCCTAGTTAATCAATTGTGGGTCCACAGATCTGTCAATGATACCTCAATCAGATGTTCTTAGCAAGAACAAGGACAGCAACGCATTAGGTACTCTTGTTCATAACTTGAATATGACCCCTGATAGGTACATAGCAGAATATCTCGTATCCAGCCCGACCTCTTAAATCTTTTAGATGATAATACTACCTCCAGATGAATGTACATAGCTAGGCGGTACCTAGCATGGCTATTGGAACGGCACTCATACCGAACGCTAGTCTACAGCGGCTTATATAATCCATATTAACAGCCAATCAAATCTCTGGATTACCATGTCCAGTTGTCCATATGCAGTAATCGCCTTAATCGCAACCCTTGCAGATCTTTTTTCTTGGAGCTTCCTCCGCTTTGAATCAATTTGTTTACCTATCTTACATAGTATCGATTCTTTTGCCAGAATTTTCTTGGTTGCTTCCACTAGATCAACGAGCTGTAGCAAATCCGCCCTTGGATATATGAGCATCATATTCAGAGTTTACGAATTAGTGGTTGTTTGTTTATTACTAGGTATAACCATGTACCTATACGGGCTGGTTGGATACTACGGCGAATACATCCAAATCGGTAGACATCCAGAACAAGAAACAGGTAGGCGGTCGTTTGGACAACTTCATAGAGCATTGCCAACCTCCGATTTTCTTTCTTGACGCTGCACATTATATGATCTTCAACACTAACTACATGCTACTTAAACCTAAAGTCTAGCATTGCCAAATACAGTCTACAGAGATATTAGCCTTCCTTCTTTTAGTTAGACCTAAACTAGATACAGACGACTAAAAGCAATTCTAGCTAAAATAGGATCAGTAAATGTTAATGAGCTCATCACGTACACGCTTGATTTAGTTCCCACCTACTCAATGATGCAACTCGGTATGGGCCGTCAGGTCCCGTGCCAAGTATATTAAGCGTACCTATTTACTGGACGATGCGGGCCAAGCTTACAACTTAGCACCTGCTATCATTGATGATGTCCTCATTCATGCTAGCATCGACGATCAGCAGCCGGATTTTTGGGAGCTACGCAACAATATTGGTGGATCAGGTACACGTTACGCCAGGCTTTCATAGGTATGAGGTAGCCTCAAAGCATCGCCCTCGGTACCTACATTTACCTAATGTACCTTTATATGTGGATGCGGGTACCTTTTTCGATGCAGGTTTGGTGCAAAATACAATATTTGACTAGGCAACACCGTGACTACGGGCGTACCTAAATAATTGAATGAAATTGTTGTAGGTACAAGTATTTAGTGTTTGTGTACATGGAAATATTGTTGCCTGCATGTAGATCAGCTAGCCATGTTAGAATAAATCAGATTACTTGAGGAACTAGAGATGATACATTCATTAGTATTCACTAGGATCAATTTTCAGGTACATATATATGACTTAACTTCTCTGGCCGATTAATTATTTAATTGCCTTGGTAACCGACCATTCGTACTTTCCTCCCCCGTAGCTCCTGCACAATTTTTACCTCCCACGTGTAAGAAAGAATCATCAAGCAAGCAAGCAAGCAAGCAACAAGTTTCCAAATATTAAAGCTTGAAACAGCTGCCTTCCGTCCAACTTTCTTCCTCTTTCACCACCAAGATTCAACACCCAAGTCGAAAGATACAAGTTGTGATAGCCTCAATTTGTGAGCTCTCGCCTACCTGAGTCTTACTCTATCTCCCCTGGTAAGTAATTATTTCTCGTCTCTGTCAACACCCAGTTTGCATTGTTGTCCCTACGCATTGCGCACGCATATACACACCTCATCATCGTCCGTTCCCAAACCACTACCTATTATCACCTTGTCGGTGCGTGTTACCTTACACATTTTTACCAACCCTTTCCCTTCACTTTCCAATTTAATCACCTTTCATTACCTATTGACCTCTGCACCTCCGTTTCGTGTCTTACATCGCACAAGTACATATACAACCGAAGGAAATTACCTCCTCGAAGGACATTCAGGTGCGTTTTCCTCTCTGGTTAGATAACTATTGTATCGTACCTGCCTTCTTGTAGCTGCCTACCTCGCAGTCTCTCTTCTCGCCGATAAACATAATCGGTCCCCTCTTCCCAACCTTTACATCCATCCAACTCATCTTTTTTCCACAACATTTTCCACATTCACAGACATAGATCTTCCACCAACATCACAACAGTGAACACACCCTCATCCACACACCCACACACATTTCACAATTTTGCACGCTTTTTGAGCATCCATTTCTACGATTTTCTACGGTTTCATTTTGACAGCAGCAATTCTTACTATTCTTGGTTCACAGTCAACCGATCTCAACACATCGACTTCTTGTTATCAATCCGCCTACAGCATTATCCAAGATGATGTTCTCTGCGATCCTCGTTGGCGCTGCTGCAGCCGTTGCTGCGGCTCAGGGCTCCGGCTTCCCTCAGGGCTTCCCTGAGTGCGGTGTAAGTATTATCATCTATTTACTTCCTAATTCTTGATGCCTAAACCCCAAAAATATAATATTGAACTACACTCACTCAATTTTTAGGTCACCTGCGTCAACAACATGTTGAGCCAAGCTTCCCAGCTTGGATGCTCCGACATCACCCCCTCGTGCCTCTGCACCAAACAGAACTTCATATACGGAGTTAGAGACTGCGCTACGGAGTCGTGCCCAGACCAATCCGTCGCCCAGCAGGTCATCCAGTACGGTAGTCAATACTGCGCTAGTAAGTCTCATTCCAACCAAGTCAATTGGTAACTTACCCATGACCCTGATGCTAACTATTTGGGATAGGTGTCGGTGTTGCCGTCTCTGGTATTCCCTCTGCTGTAAGTTGTAGCTATGAAAATTCGGCTCCAACTTTGGTTGACTCATGAATTTTTAGACTGGCGAGAACCCTACTGCCTCCACCACTGTGGTTGCGACCGATTCTCCCACCATCAACCCTAGTGTAAGGCTTTCCCAATACCTAAATATTCTCCATACAACCACTGACAAAAATTGAAGTCTTCTCAGGGATCAGCTTCGGCTTCGTCGGCTTCATCGGCTTCGGAAAGTTCAACTTCTGGAGGATCAGCAACTCAAGAGTCCAGCAGTAAGAGCCTCTCCTTTACCATCGTAACGGGCAGCTACGGTGACGTTTATATCTCAATGCTCACAGACAATTCAGCTTCCGGTACTGTTGTTCTTGTCCCTATCACTACCGAGACCATCTCGACTACTATCAGCGGCAGCGATGGCCCCATCACCTCGGCTATCGCTAGTACTGTCTTCTCGACTTCTGGAGCTTCCGCCCCGGGCAGTGTCACCTCTGGCACTGAGTCTGGATCTGTCACTACGGGTGTGATTGAGTCGTCTGTTACCACCAACGGCTCGACCCTGGCAACTAGCATCACCACTACTGGTCCGGCAAGCAGCCAAACCTCGGAGGGAAGCAGCGAGTCTACTCCCAACGGAAGCGCCGAGTCGACTTCATCCACCTCGAATCCCGCCGCACAGCGAACCGCAGCACCAGCCGGCCTCATTGCTGCTGCTGGTTTAGCCGCTCTGATGCTATAAACGACTTGGTGAGCAAGTGATTTGGTCAGGCTGAATCTCAATTCAGAAAAAAACTGCATTTGGTTTGAGAGGGTATGCAAACAGGTCACATAATATTATTGGTCGGTTAGTGCGAGGATGATTCACGATAGCTGGGAATTTCCCTTCACTTGATGATGCGATGACTTCGAGGTTACGGGCGGCTTTTTACGATGTATAAATGATTCATTGTCCTTCTTAGGACTCCTAATACCTGTTTTAGAGATACCCACCCCCTGAGCAGATGGCATCAGGCATCGGGCAGTGGAGTTGGCTTCTCGCTTTCATCAATGGAACTAATAAATAGTGCTTCTTTCATCAACGCATATGTTTGTGTGTGAACTGATTCATGTTATGTTCGGTCTGCAGTTATTGTTTTTGGACCAAGTTGTACTTTGCGCATCGTATGATAGCTAGTAGCTGTACTTGTATGCATTCACGTAGTTATAACCAAAAAAGAAAGGTTTATAACATAACCAGTGATCCGTTGATAGTAGTTTTATTTTGTGATTCAGTTTACGACTTATCGTAATCTTTTACCTTCTTACCCTTCTTACCCTTCTGCAATCCCTTGTCAATCTACCTAGGTACAGGTAGGTATGGTGGCTTCATAATTTTGATTTTGGTCAAGTGATAGCCAGTGCCGGAGGTTTAGGTAGGTAGGTAGCTATGGCCAACCTATTAACAAAAGCTTAGCCATACCTTACTTAGTCTTCTTTGCAACCTACATCTCAGAAACATTTCCCCTACAACTAACTCGGGCTTCAATTCTTCATTCCCTTATTTAAATCCAATTATCTTATCCATAACAACCCTCCACCGTTTGGCCTAACAATATGGGGCAGATGCAAAGTATCACTATGAGGCGACATCAACGGTTGCCTCCTCCAACATTACCAGACAATGCTGGGTCGGCTTTCATGAATCTGCCACTGGATATAATTCACTTGATATACAATTCATTCTTAGACCCAATATCAACACTAACCCTTACTCTGACATGTAAAGACATGTTCGCCGTAATACCAATCAAATCGCTGCCAAGACTAGACCAACCTGACCTGAAAGAATTCCTACTCCTCCTCGAGAAAGATATGAATGGTCCACGGCCGAGTTACTTTTGCCATACCTGCACGCGTCTACATTACCTCGACGACACCCGCGGGGACGAAACCATATTCGACTATAACCACGTTATAAAATCAAATAAAGGTTGCTCTAATAACCTATGGCTTAGTGGCAATGATTTCACCATCGGATACCACCATATCCGCCTCGTCATGAATCGGCACTATTACGGCGCACCTGGAGGCTTGGCGTTGAGCGTATTTGACGTCGTAAACCGGTCGAGTTACCGCCAGTCGCGTCAGTTTCGGAAATGGTCGGCAAGGATTATAGATGACGAGCTTTTCCTATCTTCTACGCACAAGATCCGCTTCCTTGGTGCGGAGGGGGACTTTCGAGACCTCCTTGACCGGAGGGAGTACCAGATATGTACGCATACTTGGACAATGAAGCGTGGGGTTGGGTTCAAGGAAGAGGAAGAGGCGGAGAAGCTTCCTAAGTCTCTCCTAAGGCTTCAGGATGCTTACGACCAGAGGGTGCGGACGGGCGGCGGCGATCCTACAATTCGATGTTACTGGTACAACCCTCCATGGGGCCCCAGCCGCACTGTCAACTCCTTTAGGCTCGAGAAAAGCACAAGTTCTATGCTACAACCCAAGCTTTTAAGGCAGTGTCGGGACGTCCTCGGGTCGTGCATCTTCTGTGCTACCGATTACACAACGACTCTCGAGAAAAGAAATGTCGGACATTGGTGGGAACGTGGGCAGGAAGAATGGGTCCTAACCATCGTCACCTATCATCAGCTGGGACAAGGTCTAACGTCAGCTGATCCAAAATGGAAAGCGTTTTTGACAACATATTCGAGCTATGCTGAGCCTTTCCGCGAGACATTGGGATCTTTACCTAGGAGCGTGAAGAAAAAGTGGGATGAGTCTATTTCATGCGGCACTGCTGAGTGAACACTTCATCGATAACGCTGGAGTATGCTCTGCTGGAGAGATATTCCCAACCGGTAGTTGGGTAGGGGTTACCTTAGCTTAAGCACTCGACCTATTTGATTTGTTTGTTTTTACATAGCGGTACTTGACTTAAGTCAAGGGATGGATGCATGTAGATCCTTAACAGCCAAATATCATAGTTAGTATGCTTTCACTTTGAGGGTCACTGTCACTCATAATGGTTGGCAGGGTGCACGTCGGTTCGTCCTTGAAATAACAACTTCGTATGCCGTATAGCGGCTTCATGGTTACGATCCTCATGATACGTTCATGCGTGTTTCATAGTTAATACGTAATATCGGGTTCTCTGATAAAAAGTGCGGCATGATTGATTTTGATTCCGGACTGTGGTGTCACCCAAGAGGCCGGTTAGACCACATTAGGTAGAATAAGTCTAGCCTCTTATTCAGATCCGAATACCTATAAGCCTGTTTGTAATAATAATAAATATCGAGTTGCATTCGTCTAGCTGAACGACAGTCTCCATGTCTTCGTCTAATAGGTGGCCAACTGTAAGGACGGAGGTTAGTGATTTGGAAACCTGGCCTATGTAAGTTGAAAAAAAAGGGGGGGAGTGTTTTGTAGATACCTAACGTTTATTGGGAAATTATAACTTTTCTAATAATATGTAAACTAGGTACTAGGTGTAAGGACGTTTCGTAACAAGGATGAGCAGATATACGAAGTCCGTCCAAGCAAGCATCGATATGCTACAAGAGCTTTTCCCTCTTTATTTCATACGAGAAAATAGCCAACTCACCAAGTTACTAAAAAGTATGCATTGTAGCTTCTTTCCCGGCAGGAAATACGAGGATTGGATACTAATAAATAAGCAAGGCTACTGTTGATCCGCAATGATAGGCAGCGATTTATTATACCTAGGCTTCCAACTATGAAAGAGCATTCCGTGGAAGAAGCTGTGTGGGAATGGAAAAAAAGATTATTAGTGAAGAGCATATTAAATTGTATGAGCTATGTAGTGATGAATATGTTAAATAATCTCTTCGAGTTGTTAGAATAAATTCGATTCGCAAGTGTGTTCCATTTTCTCCAGCTTGAAATTCAACGGTGTTTATAGACTTGAATAGTACATGTCACAAACGCATCGCAAGAGTTTATCAACTCATATTGTGAAATTTCGCTAGGGTAAACGCTATAAGAAACGTATTGCGTCCACTGTCTCTCCTATCTTATATATAACCTTAGTGATTCTTATCTGGTTCGTCCGGACTACCCTTACTGATATCCTTTCGGAGAAGATTATAGGACTCTGTTGCTCCCTGGCGGAGACCCGACAGCAAACTAAGTTTCCCCAATCCCCTGTATTGTATCCCGAACAAGGGCTTCAAGCTCGTTGACAAAATCTTGCATGGGCTCCAATGCACTTAGAGGCAGCTCCAACTGCGGCTCTGACTCAGTCCGTGGCTCAGTCCAGGGGTTCACAAGACGGGAATACATCTCACCTAGTTGGACTTCTGTTTGGCGAAATTTGAGGCTAATTATGTCCATCATCTGAGAGAGGGCTTGCCTGGCATCAATATGCTTTTGTATGGATATAAATAACTGGGGAGGTAGCCTCGTCTGTGGGTGTAGAAACTCAGATTCCTAGCCCATGGGAAAGTCTCTAAACCCAAGGAGTACGTTTCCTGTTTGACGAAGTCGGTTGCTCATGTAGTCCAACCTGTTAGACATACACAGCGGATAATCCTCATAAATTTGATTAACCGTTGAAAGAAGTGGTGTCCTGGTTTTGCCGCCTATACGAAAGTAATTCGTATTAACTATCAGGAGGTGAAATCGGTCGTCAATTCTGTTTACTAGTTCGCGGGCTCTTTGAATAGCATTGGTCAATTCTTGTCCGCGCTCGAATAGAAGTTGAAACACCTTTGGCTGCGGCTGCGGCTGCGGCTGCGGCTGTGGCTTTGACCGATATTGGTGATCCATGGGAAAGAAATGCGACTTGTCTTCGCTATCGTCTGTGGGATGGCGTAATATTGTTGCTGGCGTAGAGGTTCTCGATCAGAAGTGAACAGCTGACAGGACCGAGGCCGAAAGAACTATTAGTCGTTGGGTGGACTACTTGTAGTTAGATAAATGAGGAGGAGACGTTGTCAATATCACATTTCATACCTGGGATTTGACAAGGGTTATCGTCTAGTCTTGTATATATGTTGATATGAACCTGGTGCGAGTGATATGTGAAATGTGAAATGTGAGATGTTATTGAAAGAGAAGCAAAAGATCAAGATCTCGGAATGCGACTGGTGGCTTTTAACTAGCTACATAGGTACCTGCCCTTGATTGACCTTGATAATAGGTATGGAAGGAAGACTGGTGGGTATCCCCCAAGGTAACTACTACTTGATAGGGGCTAACTTCTAGGAAAGAAGCGAGATATCTTAGATGTCTTAAGGGAAGCCACCCCGTACTAGAAACCTTACATGTACCTAACACACATAATAAGTATAACATCTTTTACATCTTCGACCCCCCCACCTTCACTTTTCTCTATTTCATCTCAAATAAATCTTCGCAGTTAAACACATACATCGTATGAAAATACATAAGCACAATATCCTAGATACTCCCGTCATCGTCGATGGGCCTTATAAGGGGCTTCTATCTGATAGATACTATGCGCAAAACTTTCATATTATTTTCTTTGCGTCTATCATGAGATAACGACAACCTCGACTAAATTAGAACGTCAGTACATAGTGTAGCCGATGAACTAATGCACCCCAGATCACGAGATGGTGCGGGGTAGCTTCATTTATTAGAAGCAGATTTAGGTGCATGCAAGACAGGGGCAAACAGGATATATTTAGCCTTATATTACGCCTCCCTATAATCTTGAACGCTACGAAATTTACACTAGGTTAGGTACCTTAGGCAACTATGGCTTCCACAAAGATCCGACTTGCTACTGCATCCCCAGGGACGCAGGCGAGTACCAAGGAGACCCTCGCACAACTTGATCACATCGCTCAGCGCGCCGCGGCTAAAAAGGCTGATATCCTACTACTCCCGGAAGCTTATCTCGGTGGCTACCCCCGGGGTTTAGACTTTGGATGCAAAATAGGGTCTCGTACTGCAGAGGGCCGCGACGATTATCTGCGCTACTTCAAGAATGCTGTGGACCTGGGAGACACTGTTGGCGACGGGGCCGGAGCCGGTGAAGCCTGGGTCAAACGGCAGTTGAGCGTCGACGCTGTCGTAACTGGCGATGCGCAGGGACCGGTGAACAGGGGTGACGGGACGAGAGAGGAAATCGAGCGAATCGCGAGGGAGACGGGCGTCTTCATCGTGGTGGGGCTCGTGGAAAAGGCAGGGGGTAGCTTGTATTGCTCCGCCATATATGTTTGCCCTAAGCTAGGGGCTATCGGGAAAAGGAGAAAGGTCCAGCCAGTAAGTATGGTATTTCTTATGGTATTTCTTACCTATATGCATCCTTCGTGCGACCAGCCAATGGCCCTTGCAGGTACATGAAGCCACCTAGGTCATAGTTGGCAAGGTTAGGTATTATAGCTTTTCTAGCTTTATTTGTTGAACTATTGGGTGTTATAAGAGAAGTCTCGATTGGAATTTCAACTTGGATTATCATCCAATTAGCAGCTGCAGTCTCAGCAGAATACCCATACAGTTCTACGAGGATGGGAATTATATGGGAGAATTATTATTGGGAACCATCCACAATTAGCTAACAGCAGACAGACAGGCACAGAACGACTTATCTGGGCGCAAGGATCGACTGCCACCCTCAAAGCAGTGAGCACCGCGATCCGCGGCGTCCGTATCAATCTAGCTGCCGCTATCTGCTGGGAGAACTATATGCCTCTTCTACGACAGAGTCTCTACGCCCAAAATGTTAATCTATATCTCGCGCCTACGGCAGATAACCGTGACGCTTGGTTGGCGTGTAAGTGACCTGTCCCCTTTTCTGACCTTGGAGTTATTATGCGTTTTTGGAAGTTATTGTTCTGAAGGACACGCCTATGGCATAATGCCAAAATAAAATGATAGAATACCTAATGCTGGGATATGTAGTGATGCGTACCGTAGCTCTCGAGGGCCGCTGCTTCGTCGTCAGCTCTAACATGTGCGTGCGTGGAGATCCCGCAGCGGATTCCGTAGCCACGCATAACAACAAGAATGGAGTTGCAGCTCATAGCGATCGCCAAAAAGGCGCGACCGGAAGACGGGACTCGTTTATGACTGAAGACGGCTTCGAGATCGCGCTACCCCTATCTCCGACTTCCCCGGGTGTATCCGGGAAACCGAGGATGGTAAGCCGGGGCAGGAGAAGGTCTGTGTTCGACGATGATGGCAATGAGATCGCGCTTCCTGAAGGAGGCCTGACGGCATCCGCTGTGGTTGAAAAGGAAGAAGAGGCATGGGTTAAGGCCGATTCCCTAGCATTGGTGAAGACTCCTGCTGCACTAAGCAACAGCTTTGTCTCTCGTGGTGGATCTAGCATCGTCTCTCCTTTTGGAGATGTCCTCGCTGGCCCGCAATGGGAGGACGAGGAGGGCATTATCTACGCGGACGTTGATTTCGATGATTGCATTCGTGGAAGGCTGGATTTGGATGCTGCGGGAAGTTATTCAAGGTATAGAATCCTCTCGCCCCTTTTCTACACTATCTACAGTGTCATTAGGTGTATATTTAGCTAACAACCGACTCTAGGAATGACTCTTTCAAATTCTCTGTGGCAGGCCTGGATCTTGATCCCTTGCCATACTACTAGGTTCCTTTTTCTTCGATTTTCTTTTCATCTATATTGTTCTCGAATCCTGGCGATGATCCGGTTGAAGGTAACACAATACAAGGTATCGTGTAGTCTAGCCTAGTTGTGTAAATCTCTTTGAGATCCGGGTTGCTGGAAAGTTTATACGTGTATCTATTTAGAAGTACCTAACCACCCATTCACTTAAGTTGCTCGAGTCTAACTAACCTCACCTGTATAAAGTATACTGCCAAGACTAATAGCAACTATAAGAGCAACTCAATCGCAATCTTGTTCTAAATTCAGCTTGTAGTACAGTAAACGGGTATCTAATTTCGCCATCAATCCCAGCCGGTGCTTGCCTGCATGTCTTCCGTAGCCCAGAAGCCACCCCAAACGCAAAAAAAATAGGAAAATGACACAAAAATACAGGAACTCCCCCAATCCTCGCCCACCGCGGAATCGTGTCGTGGGACGTCATCGTATTCGCAAGAAGAAGCATTATCATACCCGTCTACCCTAATCTGCCAGTAACCTGCTGAACACTGAAATGAATTTCTTCCAAATCGCTACACTACAAAGGGCTCGCTTGCTATTAAGCTAAACCCTTTCTTCGATACTTGCCTTTCTTAGCCTAGTTATCTCTTCTACTACTTGTCCTTCGTCACGAGGTTCTCGTCCTTCTCTTCAGCCACGGCACCCTTCTCCGCCGCCTCGCGCGGGGATGCAAGCGGGCTGTTTACGCCACCAACGCTTCCACTAATGCTATCGGCACGGTTGTGGTTGAATAGGCCGCTACGGACGCTGGCGGCATCCCCGGTGAGGCTTTGCTTTGCATAAAAGCTGTTGCGTTCGCCGGGTAGAGTGGGCGTGATTCCAGTTGTAGAGTAGATACTCGTACGTTCGTTGGCCCCGGCAATTCGCGAGGTCGACTGGTGTAGACCTGGAGTCGACATATCACGACCACCGCTGCCGTCGATATTGGCACTGAGGACACTGAGCGGGAGGGACTCGCGGCTCCCTCCCCAGAGGGAGGATGGCGCGAGAGCACGTACCGACGCGTCGGTGTCCATAGACCTTCGACGGCGCCTCTGGCTGGAGGAAGCTAGCGTGAGGATCGACGCATTGTCGGTGAGAAGGTTATTTGCGGTGGCTGTATTGTAGGTGGTCGGATAGCCAGGATTCGAATGAGGTGCAAGATACGGCGGAATTGCGGAGGCGGGAGAATTGGTGGGGAAAGGTTGGGTAAATTGGATAGTCTGGTAATTGCCTTGGTTGCCGTGGTTGGACGAGTGACCTCCATGAGCCGGGCCATTGACTGCGGTATTTGGTCCCAGAGACTGGATGGTAGTGAGAGTAGTCGTTAGAGACCGCACAGAGGGTGCAGGGGAAGAGAAAGTGCTGTCTCCTCCTTTTCGAGAGTCGAGACCTCCACCAGCGGTGCGGCTCGTGCCTGTTACCGAGGATGCCATATGCGAAGGAGCATGTAGAGATTGGGCGGCTTCGTAGTCGGTGGACACGGTATGTGCTACAGACGGGGCACCGACGGTAGGAGGCGCGGCTTCTTCAGTAGATGTTCGCGTAGAAGAACGACTTCCTGGAGCTAAAGAAGGATCAGAAATTCTGGCGCTACGGGAGGTCAAGAAAGATGGATCGCTCTGGTGGGTAGGTATGGCGATACCGATGCGTCCAGACTGTGGGTATGGATTATTATTCTTCGAGGGGTGTTTCTTGGAACTCTTGGGGACAGCATCGCGTTTCGAGTGGTTATGTCGGCCGCCCTCAGTAGAGGAAGCGGCATTCTTGAAGTTGGCTAGCTTCTTGACCCATGTTGTGAAAGGCCGTCTGCGACCTGAGCGTTCTTGACGATCTGTCATGATGAATAACATGTTAAAGATGCAATTCTGCGTCATAGCTTAAGGAATTAAATGTATGGAAGAGTTAAAGAGGTGGGAAAAGAGAGAGGAAAAGAAGAGATAGTATGTGTGCCTATTTGCCTCAGAAGGACCTTAGAAGAGAGAGTACTCACCAGTAGGGAGAGGAGATGTCTCAGTCATGGCCATCTGGGGGCTAGACAGAGTTGCAAGGTGGCGATTAAACTGTAAATAGTCTTAGGTCAAGGTTTGATTTGGTGCACGTTTCCCCGGACTAAAACGCCAAATGAAAGGCGACGCGGTGATTTTCTGATTAGAGATGCGAGATAGTCTCTGACGTGTTGGCGCAATAACTCCCAATTGATGATAGTTGACCCGCACAAAGTCGTTGAAAAGTTGGGCAGGTATGCGACAATGATCTAGACCGTATGCTGTTGTCTGCTGTCTGTTGTCTGTTGTCGTCCGGACTTTGAGGGTGGAGAGACGGATAGATGGAGAGACGGAGAGACGGTTTTTATTGAGATATCGAAATGCCCGTTCTTTCGGAAATAGGCTAACGTATTGGGCTCCGATGTTGTGGTAATAGGGGGGATGCGGCCCAATGTGACGAGATTGTCCACCTAATAGGACAGTATTAGGGTATGTAGGGATGGAAAATAATGGTAGAATGGTTCTCTTTAAGACACCATCATCAGTGATGAGGTGCGACGGGGAATGGATATTTGTGGATATGTGGATTTTATGGCTGTATGGCTGTACGAAGTATGTCAGCATGGCTGGATGCAGGTGGGTTTTAGTTTTAGGTACCTAATGTCTCCGATATCTGTTATCGACAACGCTGTCCAATTATAACGCTCCGAAATGAGCCTTCCAGAAATCTCCCCCTTGCTTCAAACCCCATTTTTCGAAGCTGATGCTCTTTCTCCACCTGTCTGCCTACACGCTAAAAAGCTAAGGGTGCTTACAGGTAGGTTGGAACATTACCTAATTCAGGTAACATAACATCATTAGCCACAGCTACTTCCATTTTATACTTCACTTATTTCACTTCGCTTCACTTACACGATGTCGTAAAATATACAGCCCAACCTTAACATTTACGTATTCGCTTTGGCTGTTTCGATGGACAAGGCCAGATTCCCACCTCTCATATAAAATACCACTAGACCTAGACCACTACGAAGATGAGAGATGAGGAAAATACCGGTGCTCAGCAATGTCTATCCAGCAGTTGCCGGAGCATGTCATTGCTCAGATCAAATCATCTACCACCATAACGTCGCTTAACAGTGTTGTCTGTGGCTTGGTAAATAATTCTCTCGATGCGGAAGCTACTAAAATCATAGTTTCTATCGACTATATTCGAGGCAATTGCTCCGTCGAGGATAATGGTTTAGGTATCCCTCCAGAAGAGTTCAAGCCTACTGGTGGCCTCGGCAAACTTCATCATACGTCTAAATTTCCCCCTTGTAGCGATACTCATGGTCGACACGGCGCTTTCTTATCTTCCATAGCTGCATTATCGTTATTGACAATAACGTCTCATCATCATGGCTATCACTCTCATAATTCAATTAAAATTCATAACGCCGAAATCTTGGCGAGGCATACCCCTTCCTTGCCAGAACAGAGGTTGTTAAGCTTTCCTCATGGAACTCGGACGACCGTTCGAGATCTCTTCGGGTCTATGCCGGTGAGAGTTAAACAGAGAGCGATCGATGCTGAAAAAGGTGCCAACGCCAAGGATTGGGAGTCACTTAAACGTGCCCTCGTGGCGCTGCTACTCGCTTGGCCAGGCCAGGTCTCCATATCGCTTCGCGATTCCGTAGATCGGCGTAGTCTTACAATCCGCACCCCCGAGGAATCCTCGAGTTCTCAAGACAAAAAAAATGACATCCTTAACCTTACCACTCGTGTTTCGAGGACATTATTCCAAGCCCAGCTATCCGATGATCGCTCTCGGGATCTGTGGGTGCCACTTAAGGCATCGGCGGGTGCGATCTCGGTGGTAGGTGCAATATCGCTCGTTCCCATAGCCTCTCGGCAGATACAGTTTATTAGCATAGGTGTACAGCCCGTCTTTAATGACCATGGGTCAAACGTCCTCTATGAAGAAATCAATAGGTTATTTACGAACTCAAGCTTCGGGGTAGAAGAGGAGGGTGACAATCTCAGTGAGACCGAGCAAAATAGGAGAGTTGACGACGGCCGATTCAAACCAGATGGATACACCAACCAGGAACTCAGGGGTAGAAAGGGGGTTGACCGATGGCCCATGTTCTATATCAAGATTACCCCTGGACAAGTTTCTCAGCTCGCTCAATATGACGTGGAAGAGATCCTGGATGAACGCCACGAGAGCCTAAAAGCAATAATTGATGTTCTATCTGCGGTCATCTACGAATTTCTTAAGGCACACCACTTTCGCCCAAGGTATCCTAGACCTCGTGGAATCACATCATCCAAGCGTTCGAATTCTCAGAACATGCGCAACCAGTCGTTATCTAGAAGCACCACCCCAAAAGTCGAATCTCGAGCAACTAGGGCTCGGGCATCTATAAACCATCTATCATCTACCGGAGATTTGGCCAATACTCGTCTTAATCTCACGTCTGAAAATTCCGGCTTGCGGCCTTCATCTCCGTTCGATTCCTGGACTCGTATTAAATCAGGGCAGCCTCAGTATGCACACTTATACGACAAAACTCTGGGTCAATCTGGTATGGAATGTGCTCGTAGTCATAGCCCACGCTTAGAAGATGGCAATAATATTTCGGATACACCATTAGTTGCTCCAGATGGCACGCTTGTCCGTATTCCTTTCCCCGACGTAGAATTGGATACGCCCGGTACAGGTAGCCAGAAGCCTACACCAAAAGAAGAGAGTCTTGACAGAGAAGAATCTCAGTTACAAGAAGGCAAAGAGATTTTGTGGACCAATCCAGCCACCAAGGATACCTTCGTCGTCGATACCCGCACTGGCTCAGTGATCCGGCCCCTAAGACTCGGAATTGGGGGATCTGACGTACTGAATGAGACCCATCATCTACCTTCAAGAAAGAAGCTTCGTACAAACACCAAGCCAGTTACTAGCGATTTGAGAAGCGAGTGGCTATGTGATCTCTTATCATCCTGGGACAACCCGGTTTTCAAGTTACATGAGCCACCGATCCCAGTTGTTTTTGATGAAGAAAAAGCATTAGCTTTAGCAACAAAGACGACAGAGGATTGTTGCCATGGATATAACTCCAGATCGTTGGAATCATTACAAACTACTTCGCATAGTATGGAAGGCCGACTGTCTAAAGATAATCTACGGAATGCTGCTGTAATATCGCAGGTCGATCGGAAGTTTATACTTGTTAAAATTCCTTTACCTTCACCGCCTCCCGATCTAGGTATAGGCAAAAAAGTAGGTACCTCATTGCTTGTCATGATTGATCAGCATGCTGCAGATGAGCGGTGTCGGGTCGAGTCCCTTATGAAAGATTACTTCATGGTTATAGAAGATACACAAGACGCAGTCACAGGACAGCCCCAGCGGTCGATTCATGCCCAGGCCGAGCTTCTAGATAAGCCTATCGTATTTGATGTTTCCCTTCGGGATGGTCATCAATTTGAGCAGTCTGTCGAGTACTTCAAACATTGGGGAATCGTGTTTCAAGTCACCTCGGTGTTTAAATCAAACTATGACAGCAAGGGGAAATCCAAACTTAAAATCCTCGGCCTACCGCCCAGCATAGCTGAAAGATGTCGCTCAGAACCCCGATTGCTCATCGAGTTACTGAGGAAAGAGACATGGAAGCTCGACGGACACGGACACAGTGCTTCTCAGCAAAGGAGGGTAGAGGATACTCAGGGAGCTGGTGATAGTTCTGCTGGTCTGCACTGGCTGGCTCGGTTTCACGGGTGTCCCGACGGCATTATAGAAATGATCAACTCTCGAGCGTGTCGGAGCTCTATTATGTTCAACGATGCTCTTTCTCATGAGGAATGTGTCGATTTGGTAAGGCGGTTGGCAGACTGTACTCTACCTTTCCAGTGTGCCCACGGACGGCCATCAATGGTGCCGCTAGTCGATTTAAGTAGAATCCCCACGAATGCGGTAGATATAGAGAAGCCTACGGGTGGGTTTGGGGAACAGTTTAAGAAGTGGAAAGCAAGTATGGGTAGTGGATAAGGGTCTGTATAATTAGTCGACCTATTTGGAGGAGTATTTTGATATATGCTATAGATAGAGATACCCAAGCCATTCAGGAGATTCTAGGTTAATGTTAAGAGTTTACTTTTTCAATAATGTCCCACGTGCACTTATGGATTAAAGTGATTCAAGCACCGCCACACCTTGAATCTTTAAATTCCAAGTACCCATGTATGTACCCATGTATTGAGGTATCGAGGTACCTACCTAGGTATCGATAAAGCAGGTCCCATCTTAGAGCTTCGCGGTGACGTTCCCAGCTGTTAGGCAATCCAGGCAATCCGAGCATCACCAACTTTCGAGCAAGGATGAACAAACCAGAACTAATGCCGCCCAGTTGATTGTCGCAAGCATTTGAGCACCCGCTATGGCTTTGCTTCTGGTGAGTTATCAGTCCATGATCACTTTATTCTCACTAATTCTACTTAACTAACCTGCCCAAAGTGGAAAGCATTCGACTTCTTCGAAGTGAGCCAGGTCAAGCTCGGCGACGACGAAACACGTTCATTCTTCGAGAACAACGAGGTATCAAGCGTATGCTCCGGATCCGATAGTTTATTCTTCGGAAGCGATAACGGCTATGTGCGCATTATCGGGCCCAGTTGGAAGATCGTCCGGAGCTTCCAGGCACACGACACCGGTCGCATTACCCATATGCGCCAGGTTGAGGGGACGAGCCTGCTAGTTACAGTTTCTGTAGGATATATGTCACAGCCTTCAAATTTTGAACGGAACTAATAAGAAGTAGGAGGACCTAAGCAACGAGCCTGTATTGAAAGTCTGGGCATTGGATAAGCCCGTGAAGAAGACAGGCCTGCCCACCTGTTTGAGTACATTGAACATAAACAATGGGCGAAAACAGTTCCCTGTAAGCACGGTTAGAAATTAATATGAGGATTCATAATCTAATTAAATGTTATAGATATCGTCATTCACCGCTCTCGACGACCTCTCGCAGCTCGCCGTAGGATTTGCAAACGGTTCAGTCACAGTAATACGAGGCGACCTGATACACGACCGAGGCACAAAACAACGAATCGTTTACGAGTCAGAGGAACCCATCACAGGAGTCGAATTTGTAGCCGATCCAAAGCTCACAACACTATTTGTCGCAACGACGTCCAAGCTCTTGAAGCTAGTTATATCTGGCAAAGGACAGGGGCAACCGCCGAGGACGATTGAGGATGCCGGGTGCGCTGCCGGTTGTATGACAGCAAATAGCAAAACCGGAGATATCATCGTAGTCCGAGAAGATGCGGTATACTATTACACATCAGAGGGGAGAGGGCTTTGCTTTGCCAACGACGGGACCACGAGCCTAGTCTCAACTTTCCAAGACTACGTTGCTCTTGTTTCGCCGCCCCCGGTTTCTAGCAGCGGAAGATCTGATAGTATAGGGAGGCGCTTTGGAGGATCAAATGCAGAGGCCCTCTTCAACGCTGCTAGGTTTACAATGGTGGACCCAATGCTTCAAATAGTCGGACATTCCGAGTCTCTTATTTCTGAAGTTAAGGCTATTTTTAAAATATGGGGAGACCTGTTCGTTTTAACTCAGGATGGAAAGGTGAGGCGTATTGACCTTTACTCGACCGAGCATGTACTCATCAAGACCAGGTTACCCGCTACCATGAGAAGTCATTGCAGCAGAGACTCGAATTATTATACCAACGAAACCTATTCCCGCTTGCTATTAATCTTGCGCAGAAGTCCGGCATGGAACCGCAACAACAAAATGTCATATACCGGAAATACGGTGACCATCTATATCAGAAAGGAGACTACGATAGTGCTATGTCTCAGTATATCAAGGCAATTGATAACACCGAGCCTTCACAAGTCATCCGAAAGGTAAGTGTTTATCTTGAAACTCTAGAATTTCTCTGACAGGAATAGTTCCTCGATACACAAAGAATACATAACCTGATCGAATATCTCGAAGAGCTTCACGAACATCACAAAGCTACCGCGGACCATACAACTTTGTTACTAAACTGCTATGCAAAGTTGAAGGACGTTGAGAAGCTGGAGAAATTTATCAAATCTGAGGGAGATTTGAAATTTGACCTGGACACGGCCATAAACATGTGTAGGCAAGGTGGATATTTTGACCAGGCCGCTTACCTTGCTACCAAGCATGGCGAAAACGACCTTGTAGTAGATATTCTCATTGAGGACTCCAAGAATTATGCCGAAGCACTTGATTTTATATGGCATCTAGATGCTGAAACGGTATGTGGATTGGTATTTGATGTTACTCTGATGCTAATATTTAATAGGCATACCCATCATTAATGAAGTACGCCAGAGTACTCCTAGAGAACTGCCCGAGTAATACTACCGACCTCTTTATCGACTACTATACAGGAAAATATAAGCCTAAGGTTCATCCAGTGCCAGAAGAAACACAAACAATTTCAAGCGGCGGATTGGCAGCTGGAGCCGCAATAGCCGTGCAGAACCTAACCAGCCTACTTCCGCTCCCCTACATGAACACCTCCGTAGCTCCTACACCTACAGGGCAGGGATCGCAAGCAACTGTTAGCGACGCAGGCGCTGTGATAGATAACGAAACGAACACTGAGCAAAAGTATACCCCACCCCCTCCTCGAACCGCATTTTCGTCTTTTATCGACCACTCAGACGAGTTTATCGTCTTCCTCGAAGCCTGCCTTAAGGATGATTCTCTCAAAGAATCAGACAAAGTAGATATCTATACAACTCTATTTGAGATGTATCTCCATAAAGCAAGCGAGCGGAAAGGGATGCAGAGAGAAGAATGGGAGCTTAAGGCGAAGAAGCTCATCGAAGGGCGTGAAGTCCCCATTGAGAACTCAAACGTTCTACTACTATCTCACCTCTCAGACTTCCGGGACGGTACAACTCTAGTCAAAGAGCAGTCCGGTTTGTTGTTCGACATCTTCCGCTCCTACACTTCCGCGAAGGATACACGGGGCGCTATCAAAGCCCTCCGCAAGTACGGACCTGAAGAGCCGCAACTCTACCCCGCGGCGCTGGCCTACTTCACGTCAGACAGACGGATCTTAGAGGAAGCCGGACCAGAAGAGCTAGCCAACGTGCTCAACAAGATCGATCATGACGGCCTGATGGCACCCCTGCAAGTCATCCAGACGCTGGGGACGAACGCCGTCGCGACCATGGGCATGATCAAGCCATACCTACGAGAAACGATCTCGCGCGAACGCCGCGAGATCGCGTCTAACAGGCGGCAGATCAACTCGTTCCGCAAGGAGACGGAAGCCAAGCGGGCCGAGATGGCGGAGCTCGGCACCAAACCTGCCGTATTCCAGGCGCAGCGGTGCCCCGGGTGCGGCGGACCCCTCGAGTTGCCGGCCGTGCACTTCCTGTGCAAGCACAGCTTCCACCAGCGCTGCCTCAAGCAGCAGGGCGACGACGGCGGCGACGTCGAGTGCCCCGTCTGCGCGGCGAACAACGCGGCCGTGCGCGCTATGAAGCGCAGCCAGGGCGAGCGCGCGGATAGGCACGACTTGTTCCGCGACGCGCTGGAGAAGGGGGATGATCGGTTTAAGACTGTTGCGCAGTGGTTTGGGCAGGGGGTTATGGGTGCTGGGACGGCGGAGTAGCGTTATGGTGGATTGAATTGAGTCAAGTTTGTGTATGTGCGTTTAAAGATTATATCCTAGGAAGCTGGGGTATCGCGTCTATGTGTGTCGGGTGCTTTTCTATATACATGTCTATATGCATCGGTATAATATACCTTATATACAGGACTAACCTAGCTGTGTAGCTAGGTTATATGATATCGCCTAGCCAATGTAGACGTAGGGTTACTATCCCGAGTACGTAGTTAGAAAACTAGTTTTTATCTATAACCCCGAATAAGTTGTTAAGCCATCTTCCAACCGGCTCGCTATCGACTTTAGTCCGCCAGTCGGTGATTTGGTGGAGGTACGCGGATTCTAGGGACGCGGGTAGGTCTTGTCCGGAGACCTCGGTGATCTGTCCGTGACGTACTGTCATTGCTGCGCGGAAATCCGGGGGGAGGTCGTCTGGTAGCGGCGGCCTGGGACGAGGGTCGTCTTCGGTTGGGTGCGTGGAGAAGGTGAATTGTGGTGTTTGCGTGTATATCCAGTCTAGGGACTGTTTTGACAGTTAGGGGGTTTGTTAATTTCTTATTCGTTGATTTTCATATTTAGACATCGGGGGATAAGGGGATGAGATGATTCATAATTTCTAGTAGGACCCCTTTTCTTTTACTTTTACTTTCTAGGTATAAAGAAAAGGTCAGAGGAAAATAAAGACATACCTTGAGCTCAGCATACCCTTTTGCGATAGCCGGAACGTCATTCAAAGCCTCCTCGGCGTCTGATACCCAAATAATCTCGGGATCAACGTTCCCGTACATAGCACCAAACTCGGCGACGACGGCCTCCTCGAAGGTGGCCGTATCCTGTACCCCTACGTTGCGGATCGGGCTGCGCACACTTTCGACACCTCGCGCTTTAATAAAGGGGGCCGCAGGGGAACGTAGGAGCGGCCCTACAAGCGGTAGGTTAGGCGACTGTAAGAGGCACGTGCCGTGGTGAAGAGAGCGCAGACGCGTTAGCTTGTAAGCCGAGCCCGAGATCTTGAACGTTTGCGTCTGTTTCTGTCCGGGGACGTCTAGTACTATATCATGCCTCTCATTAACACGGGATCCGGACACACCGAGAGAGCGCAGCGCTTGCACAACCATAACAGCATGCTTGTTCCGGTCGAAGGAGGCTGGCGGGCAGATGACGCTATAGTTCACGTTGCCCGAGTCGTGGAAGACGGTACCACCCCCGGAGCGCCGGCGCACGAGGAGCACCGACCCTTCACTATCGCCGTTCTCGTCAACGACATTACTCCTCCCCGGACCAAGAAGTCCTAAATTAACCTCGAGCCATGGATTCTGGTTGCGGCCGACGACAATGCAGGGACGGTTTGTGTACAGAAACAAGACGACGGACTCCGGAGGTGATTTCTGCAGTAAGAAGTGCTCGATGGAAAGGTTGAGATAAGGGTCCGTCGCCCGCGATATGTACACTTGGACTCGGTTGGAGGGATGTGAGACGGCTTCCGCGTTGAAGAGACGGCGTGAAGATAAGGGGATATAGGGTCTTATACGCGGCCTGCTGAAGGTGTTGAGAAGACAGCGTCGGAGAGCCATATGGAAGGTTGGGATCGGGGAAAGATGCTGAAGCTACTTGTCACCTCATCTCATCTCATCTCATACAGTTTTGTTTTATTTTGTTTTATCTCATTTTATTTCATTTCATCTTGTTTAGTATGTATTATGAGTAGGTAGTGAGATTTTTAGTTGTATTAATGATAAGATGAGATTTGATATCGGCGGCCGTGCTCATGACGAAGTTACATACATACAACCCCCTGTCATCCCGGGGCCCTGCAGCTGCTTGTGTTACCCCACATTAAACTTTTGGAACGTACGTAGGGAAGCCAGGGTCTTTATCGATAACGATCGCGGGGCTTGAATCGGAGAATGCAGAACCCCCACCATCGTAAGACCTCGAAAATTAAATCTTGTCCTCGATCCGTTTGCTCTTTGACTCATACGAACAAAGCCTCCTATCGCTTTAAAGGGACCACGACGCAGTCCCAGAGGATCAAGAAAGCGAACTTACTAGACAACTTATAAGAGTACTTATATCATATCATAGTCCAACAATTGATAAGTTTAAATAACTCTTACCGAACCATCGACTACTTTTCGAGTATCACAAGATGTCGACCTTTGGAGATTTCTTTCGGGTAACTACGTTAGTTTTACCACCCAATCAGCTCACTACATGTCTCTCTAACATATATTTTACAGCTACGGCGAATCCCATTGTCGTTCGGTAGGATGTATCGTTGATGGTTGCCCTCCAGGTATGGAACTCACCGAGGACGATATTCAGCCCCAGATGACCCGTCGCCGCCCGGGTCAGAGCAATATCACAACTCCCCGGAATGAGAAAGATCGAGTAGCCATACAATCTGGTACCGAGTTTGGTATTACACTGGGAACTCCGATTGGCCTAGTAGTCCTCAATGAAGATCAAAGACCTAAAGATTATGGAAACAAGACAATGGATCTTTACCCGCGACCTAGTCATGCCGATTGGACTTACCTCGAGAAGTACGGTGTTAAAGCGAGTAGTGGTGGTGGAAGAAGCTCTGCTCGTGAGACAATTGGTAGAGTGGCAGCTGGAGCCATTGCTGAGAAGTATCTTAAGCTCGCTTACGGTGTTGAGATTACCGCTTTCGTCACGTCTGTTGGCGCCGTTCATATGTTCCCACCCACACCCGAATATCCGACCCCCAGTCAAAATCCCGCATTCATGGAGCTAATCCAGAATATCGACCGCGAAACAGTCGACAAGTTCCTGCCCGTAAGATGCCCGGATGAACAGTCTTCGCAAAAGATGGCAGACTATATAGCCGCATTCAAAGAGCGCAACGACAGCATCGGCGGAACGGTGACCTGTGTTATTAAGAACGTGCCAAGTGGTTTGGGAGAGCCGTGCTTTGACAAACTAGAGGCGAAGCTTGGACATGCTATGCTTAGTATACCAGCAACTAAGGGCTTTGAGATCGGCTCCGGTTTCGGCGGTTGTGAGGTACCGGGATCTATCCATAATGACCCCTTTATCAGGGCACCGGAAACCCCTGCCAGCGTGGACACCGGTGCTGGACGGGCTGGAACGCCTAAACCCAAACTTACAACCAAGACGAATAATTCTGGAGGTGTCCAGGGCGGTATCTCAAACGGGGCGCCTATCTACTTCCGAGTCGCCTTCAAGCCGCCTGCCACCATCAGCCAGGCGCAGAAGACAGCTACTTACGACGGTGATTCCGAAGGCGTACTAGAAGCTAAGGGGAGACACGACCCTTGCGTGGTTCCGAGGGCGGTGCCCATCGTTGAGGCCATGGCGGCTCTAGTAGTTATGGATGCGCTGATGCAGCAGATGGGACGACACGAGGCTAGGAGACATCTTCCGCCCCTAAAACAGACGGTGCCGCCGGCGGATAATGGTGTCTCTATGGATACGAAATAAAAGGCTGGGGGTAGATAAAACCGGATTACAAAATATAGCGGGATAAAATAATATGATTCGTCATTTTTTTTTTTTATAATTTTCTTTTTGAAGTTCTTTCTAATTACAGGATATAATAAACGCCACTTAAGTTAATCAGCGGGGGTTATCTCTTTACTTTTCAATTCACAACATACTCTCTACTGTCAAAGTCTCAACTGTCAAAGTAACAAATATATCCTTTGCCGAGACGCCACCAATGTAGCCATGGCATCCACAACATCAATACCCGAGACATGTCCTCTCTCCAAAGTTCCCCTACATATCGTCGCCGCCATTCTTGAACAGTCAGGCTCAGTCCAACAGCTACGCCTCACTATCTTAAGCCATCGTATCTTCCGCGATGCCTTCTACGAGACCCCTCGTGCTATTGTCGCCGGCTTGGTTGCAAACCAGATCCCTTCTGATACTCTCCCCTTCCTTATCACGATTCTGGAGCTCACTAAGATCACCCATGACAATGCACATATTTTCATAGACATATCAAGCCGCTTACAGAGAAACCTAGAGGAAACTAGAGCCGCGTCCCTCGTCGATTTCTCGCTGTCGGATTACGCGTTTATAAGTAGAAAATATGCGGCTTCCGAGTCGCTAGCACAAAGCCTAGCAGATGAAGTGACCCCTATCCTCGCCGATAGGTTGGGACTGGACCGCCGTTCTTCGAACGTTACGCCGCAAGAGAGCTTCCGCTTGAATAGAGCATTTCTGCGGTACCAACTTCTGAGTACCCGTGCACAACTCCTGAGTACCTATGCAACCCGAGCCGATGACCTAGCTCTTCGCCTAGACCTTAGCTGGGAATACTTCCGTCAATTCTGGTATAGTTCAACCAGTTCCTTCTCTCCATGGGTTAATGAACAACTTCGGTGTGTGTATTTCTACTTAGAACGCAAGGTTACTGAGGGTGAGTTGCACAAGTGTCGCTTGAGAGAAACCTAGTCTAATCCTCTCTATCATTCCCTAGCTATGGAAGAGCTTGCTGTACATGATGTAGCATGGAGCCAGCAGCAATATGTATGCACCACCGATGAAGATATAGGAGATCCCGAAATTCGATTTTTTGTGAGTTTATCTCTCTTATAATCAAAACCCTTTATCATATAGCTACCATTTACCTCTAACTCAACCTCGAAAGCTTCTCCAAGGTCTCGAATTTCTAAGTTCCGTAGTTCGCGCAAAAACCTACGACGAAAAGATTCGCCTCTTCCGCTTGGTTGACTTTCCATCTACGCCAGAGATAAGCAGAGCCTCATTTGCTAGCGATGTACCCACGGGTGCTGTTATAGAGATAGTCCCGGATCTCGGTATCAGAGATCTTGATACACCGCTAGATCCATACGTGAAGCTAGAGCTGGATGAATTAATTGGGCCCCTGGACGGGAAGTACGACTCGACTGATTCGATCCCGTTTCGCGCTTGGCTCGTTGCTCTGGTAGGGAAACGTGTTTACTGTCATTACAGTCGGGACTTCAGTAACTTTTGGGACTGTGCGTATACCATGTGGGACTACGCCAACGTCCCCGGAATGAATATGCGAGAGAAATTCGACGAGTTACATCATAAATCGCGACACTTCCAGCGGAAGTCCACGGATGACTGGAAGGACCACTATGAGTCGCCATTCTATTGGCAGATTACCGATATTTACCTTGCAGGAGGGACAGGATATTGGCCTGAGGACGGCCCAGACTGCCCAGACTTTGGTAGGATTAATGGGCTAAGTGAGGAAAAGAAAAGGGAGCTCCTGGATAAATGGCAAAGTGGGGTAGGCCTAGGACAGCTTTCGCTACTTAATCTTCATGACGACTAAACGAAGAGAAGCTTCTTATAAAATAAAGGGGGAACTACCTGGATCTACATCTAGTTTACTACTGTTACATAAGAGAAGTGTCCGAGCTATACCTATATACGGTATCGGCCCAGAGACTACGCCAATAAAATTGTTCCTGTGTGTAGACTTGGCGAGCATTTTAAGCCTCTGAGGCTAGGTAGAGTTCGACATAAACGCTTTCTCGTAGGCGGACTGAAGAAAACGGCGTGAAAATTCAGCTGGCATTTATTGGTAGATTTTTACAAGAAAGCAAGATAATTTCAGGGGAAACCAGAGACCATCGGATATATTATTGGCATAAAACATACTATGATTTCCTCTTAATTATTCTGGGTTCCTTTTTTTCCTCCGACATTTAGAACCACTGGAAACATTCTCCCGCCATGCAAGCTACTTTGCAAACTCCATCTTTTCACCGTTGACGTTGAAGATCTGAAGCTCCCCATCCTCCCCTACTTCACGACGGCCCTCGGAACAACCTATGGGAACGAGAGTCAGCAACAATTATTAGCATAATAAGACGGAAAGTGGACAAGCAAATTTTGAGAAGCAATAATTAATTCCTCGGTTACCCAGATCAAGAACGGCAATTTCTCAAAAGGGGCTAGAAAATAAGTGACACGGATTATTCTACGTACAGCTGCTGTACTGTGAATAGAGCAAGTTAGCAACGATACAGATATACACCTCGTCTAACTAGACGTTTTGAAGACATGGGGGGAGAGCTGTAGACTTACGACACCGTAGCAGGGTTCGTTTAAACAATCGTTGATTTCGCACGAGAGGCAGCCGGGAATACAGCAGTAGCTCTGGTACTGACGTGTTGCAAGCGCGGGCGGATAAGAAGGCCCGGCGTTGGTAAGGAGAGCCAGGGGCATGATGGCAATGGCGCCGAGGAAGGAGACGATGGTGGAGGAATGCATTGCGAGCGAACTTTTCTATATGGCCTAGAGCTGTATGAAGGTATATGGACGTGTTTATGTCTAGGTCTGTTGTTGAACTTCTTGGTGAAAGTCCTGGAGAATTGCGTTGACAGGACATGGAAAACTCTTCTTTATATACAGGCTTTTGTAAACAATTACTTACTACTGCAGATATCCTCTACAGGACTAGCCGTATCTTATGTATCTGCTGATAGTATTTGATTGGAACAGCTGGCCCTATTTTCATAAGCCACTGGCAGTTTGTTCTCTTGGGTTGGAATACGATAGATAACCTGCTCTCATTTGCTGCTAACATTGGTCGAACATTAGCCCCCAAGCAATCACTGGAGTAAGGAGTCAAACTCATTCACCACTTACACTATGTAAGGAGCTAGTTGATAATTTAGCAGCACACTATCCCTTGATGAGGTTCTGGGGTTATCCTCATGACTACTGATAACGGACGAGTAGGAAACTTCCGAGAAGTCCCAAGCTTAACTAAGTATAGCAACTGACTCGATTCTTTATCTATTTGGTATAGGTATTTCGAGTGAATAGAAGGAGCAGCCTCTAGTAATACATCATATGAAGGCTAAGGGGTAGGTAACGTGAAACAGTCCCATGTGAGGCGGGCTGGCTAGCAGGTTAGACACTTTTGATTTTCCTCTCGCACATTTTACGCCTCACCCTTTGGATGTGGAAACATTCACTACATTACTACCTGGTCGTGACTCTAAAGAAGAAAAGATGAACTTGGCATGACAATCCTATTGTAATTTTGGGTCATCAGACCCGCGGCGAGCAGAAAGAGAAAGAAAAAAAAACCCCGAGAAAATTGAAGCAAGCCAGAAGTCAGAAAAAAAGGAGAAAAAAAAAGAATAGTAATAAAAAGACAAAAATGGCAAAAAAGCTGGGACCAGATTCGGCCCCGAATCGATTGACCAGAACAAGTTGGCCTTTGCTTGCCGCCCCTCATGGAGGTCGAACCTAGGTCCTACGAAAAACTCCTCGAGGAATTATTTCTATCCCTACTTCATTGCCACTGCACCACGGCCATGTTGGATTCGCAGCGCAGATCAGGGGTGAAAGAATGGTTGCCTAAGGGCCTATTTAAGTCGACAGCGGGGTACGCGATATTGCCTGGCAACCAGCAGGCACAGCACCTAAGAATGAAGTATATTGTACTGGTACGTATCTACAGCACTTAATTCTCGCTGTATCCATTCTTCGTCTAGTTCTTTAGTTACCAACACTCGATCTAATAGGTATCGAAAATAGTTGGTAACCTAGACTCCGGATCTCGGGTGTGTCCTCTGGAGCGTAATAGGCATCTCTGCCTATCTGCAGTTCCCTATTCCCTTTCATTTCTTCCCCCATCATCTTCGTGTTGCCGCCAAACCCCTATCCTCGCCCAAGATTTTAACTTGATATTTCGATGCTTGGTATACACCCCTATATTCCGCCGGAACGTGCAACCGATGAACGCCGTAAACCATTTTTCTGACCTCATACAGTCCACGACACCTCAGTCCAGACTCCTCCAGCATAATAATAACAACGAGCAAGCTTCCACCTCCACCTCCCCATCCCCATCACACACCCCCCTCCGCATACAGCCCCTCCTCCCGAATCCACCTCGCAATATCCTCACTAACCAACCTCCCCAGCGCCTCCCAATCCCTCCTCAGCACCGCCTCGCGCACCTTCGTACTACTAACAACCTCCTCCCCATCCTTCCCCCCCTCCACCATCTCAATCCGTTCCGCCCACTCCGTCCTCCCACCCACACGCTCCAGCCCACCCGCCCGCAACTCCTGCACATACGCCCTCTGCGCCGCAGCATCGCCCCACTCCGCATCCGTGCGCATCGTCACCCGCAGCTTTGCGTGCGCGAAGAACGGGTCGAGAGACTTGGCCATGGACCCGTTGGGGTAGTACTTCGGGTTGAAGATGCGGATTAGCGTGTCGAAGCCCGTTAGGAAGATCTGTTCCGTTGCGTTGGATTCTCGGCCATGGTAGAAGTCTGATGCGGCGATGGCGTTTGCTTTGGCGTGGAAGTACGGCTCGGTTGTTACTGCTATGTCCACGCCGTCGCACTTGTTGTTCTGGCTTGTTTCTGTTGCTGTCGAGCGCAGGACGTCCTGCGCGAAGATGTACATCATGGCTAGGCGTTGCGGGAAGGCGGCTGGCTTTGGCGCCTTGTCTGCGTTGTTGATGGCGAGGAGAAGGAGGACTCGCGATTTATAAGTGCTATCATTACTGGGCTGCCCGTGCTCTGAAAGGGCGGATAGCACCATACGCTGGTGGGCGAGAGTAGGCGGGTTGAAAGATGAGTCGAGGATAAGAAGGGATTTTGGAGGGGTTTGAGGTGGGTGAAGAGCTGGTGCTTCAGCTGGCGTAGAGGATAGGGAGGAATAGGTTAAAGAACATAATACGCGGAAAGTCGCATTGGATATCTGGTAGCTCTTGAGAGCTTGGGTGAAGACGGAAACGAGATTTGATGGTAGTCGAGCCATTAGGGAGTCGTCTGTTGATGACATTTCTATTACATGATTTAGGGGTTGTATATAAGACTAAGTAAAGCAGGGTTAGACGCTGCTAATGCTATATGAGAGTGATATAAAACATAATAGAATTCTAACCTAGGTAGGTAACGACACCTTGTATATCGATGCTGGCGATGTTAGTGAAAGGGATGACGATAAGAGGTGGGATGAAAAGAAGTGGAGATGAGGGGAGGTTCTGAAATCATGGCATGCGGGTAATCCCGTCCTAAGTGGATACCTACATATGTACCTAAGGTATCTGAGAACCGGGGTTCTATTTTACCTTGTCGGAACTAAGACCTAAATAATATGATGACATAAATAAATACCTTATACATATACTTTCTAATAAGATCACCTAGTGGTAGGCCATCTCGACATGATTGAATTAACGTGGGACGCATGCTTTCCTTTAATGAAATGAGTGGCCATAGTAGCCATAGGGTATCGTAAGTGATCAACCAATATTCCAGAACGCCTTAGTGCTTCAATATGCGATCCTGTTAAACACAGCTCGCCCTCCAAAAACCTTCAACGAATTTCCGGCTCTCTCATGAAGTCGGGAATACTCAATCCACCATCTCCAGGAGTATACTTCTTGGACTTCGCTTTTCGATCTCGCTTGTCTGCGGCGAGCTTTGATATCGCCTCTTCGTCGTGGTCGTGGATGTTCATTGCCGCCATTCTATCGCGGTAGTCATCGATCGCTTCGACCATATCCTCCACGGGGTTGTTCTCCGCAGTATCTGCGCTATCGTCCAACGCGTAGACTTCCACTCCGCGTATGTGCGTATCCTTTCCGTTCTGGTGATTTTCGAGGATGGTCACTCGAATAAACCAGCAGCACAGCGAGTTACCATCATGTCCGCCACCAGCTCCTTCGATGGGTACGTCGACCCAGCCTTTAGGCTGGTTGAATTCCATTATGGTGTACGGAATGGTCATGTTGGGGCTGAAGCCGGCGGTGATTTGAAGCTTAGTAGGCGTATAACTTTCATCAAGCTCGTAATCTAGGTAGAGTCTAAGCTTGCGTATCTCTACGCGCTTGATGAAATGAATATTTAATCGATGAGGTTGTGGCCCATCGGACCTAGATAGTACTATGTTAATGGAATCAGCGTGCAGAAGCAGGTGAATGCTTACTGCCAGAATTGGTTGACATCGTCATCCCGAAGTTGCTTGACGCCACAGCCGGGTTTGTAGCTGCTGACCGTAAAACTAGCTAGGTTGCTGATTTCTTTCAAACCGACTAGGGACGCGTCAAATGCGGCGTCTTCGTTATGGCCTTCATCTTCTTCGTCCAATTCTTCTTGCTCTATCTCGTCCCCCTCGATGCCCTCGATATCATGACCCTCGTCGTCTTCGCCTTCATCTTCCTCAAAATGCTCGGTGTCTTCTTCGGTAGGAGCTGCAGAATTGTAAGATGATGAAATTGACGAAATATGAGAAGACACGTTGCTTCTTTGGTCTTCTTCAATAGCGGCCTCACCGCGAATCCGAAGTAGTACGCGCCATAGCTCATCCTGGGTCACTGCCGGCTGTGGCAGGCCATGTCCACCTGGGGACGAAGCTGAAGGCTCTCTTCCGAAGCCTGGAATATCCATGGTGTATATGGAATGGACCCTGATGATGAGGAGTGGATAGGGAATAGAAGATGGTGAAATGAGATACGATAATAATAATAAAAAAGGGGAAAAATCAAACGTGAAATTGAAGCTGACCTTGAGGTGTCTGTAAGCCCATTGTCCACTGCAAGTCACGCCTTGCACTACCATTTAAAGCAGAATATAAGCCGGTTATCTCGGCAGCTCCGGCGCGGCTCGGGTCTCCGGGGTAACCTGGTGATGCCCGGGAAATGCGGTCTGGTCGCATCAAACGCCGTCGAAACTCTTCTTGCTGTTGACGGATGCTGGCAGGGTTTCTAGCAGTGCCACCGCTGCTACCAATGTCTTGAGGCTCCATTATTAAGCAGACACAAGTTCATCTAAGGTTGATGAACAATCCTTCACTCTTTCAAATTGGTTTCCATGAATAGGGTTCTATAGAATGTGAATTTGGCGACATGAAATTATTGATGTTTTTGTATACTTAGGTACGAATATCAAAGTGCGTTCGGTTTGTGACTAGCGCTGTTTTCTATCGCTAATAGTTACACATTACGCATAAGTTATACATTTATATGCTATATCCATCTAACGAACTCTAGAAATCTTATCAAACCACGCCTTTTACACTTCTGGCTTTCTATTTTGAGTTTCTATCACTAGCATGTAGATTTGTGTGTAGAACATAAGGACTGCTGCTATCAATTAATTGGTTATTAATTCTTTTTCACTGGCATGTATAGTTCTTGATCTGGCCTTTGTCTAGGTTATGAAGCTATCAGTTTTTATTTTATTTTTTTCCACCTAGTTGCTATTTACCCATAGACCTGCTTCACCTTAAGCCACCACCGAGCATCGAAAGGGACAATTACTAGATGCAGTGCTCGTACTGTGAGATATACCATGTGCATCTAGTCTATCATCTTAACTAGGTACATCATTTGGAACGTATGAGATGTTTTAAACCGCAGGTAAGTAAAAACTCTACTTAGGGATCGTCTGCTTCAATGCTGCTTCTCATCCATCAATCCCTTCTAGTCCCACTTCATGTACGTACATATATAGGTACATATATTACATAATGTACTTCATAGCATGTGGGTACTTGTAGGTTAACCACTAATACCAGTACTTCAAAAATGGCATTTACTTCAGCTGATGTCATTGGGCGGTCGTACCGGCTTGCGGTTCCCCGAAACTTTGGTGCTACAAACACCAGAGACAGGTTGCTGAGGGGCAGCGTGCTTCGCTCTAGCTTAAGACCTTCTATCATTTTTGCAACACCTGCAACACCTGCAACACCTACAGCATCTCTCCTCAAAACCCCAACACGACAATATAACAACTCATCTTCATCTATCTCCTCAATATCCGTCATACGAGTTGATTGCTTTTTTAAGCCATTGGACAGGGGTCATTTGACACTCGCGCCCTACCGATCATTCTCTTCTTCAACACCTGCCAAATCTGTCGCTCTAGCAGCTCTTGATTCGCAACATCATTCTCAACCCAGATCTAGGCCCCACAACAACTCTCCCAATTCTCCTTTCTACCTGCAACGTGGGGTTGCCCCTCTACATATAAATATACCAGCACATCTACCCAACAGCCGTTCTTTCTCTTCGTCGTCCCCAGTCTCTTGTTCAGCCATCATACCCTCGTCCATCATGGCAGACCGAGACATTCTTCCCTCTACCGTCGTCCCCTCCCATTATGATCTCTCTATATCCTCCTTGAAGTTCGACGACTGGTCTTTCCAAGGAACAGTGGACATCCAAGTCTCGATCACGGAACCTATCAAGGAAATAGTCATCAACTCTATCGAGCTCAAGCTACACACTGCCAAAATCACTGTCGACCACACCAAGTCCTCTCAGACCCTTGAGACTACCACCTTCAACTATGACGAAAAGAAGCAGCGTGCAACCCTCGTCTTCGCTGAAGAGGTTCCTGCCTCTCAAAAGGCTACTCTCCACATTACATTCCAGGGAATCCTGAATAACGATATGGCGGGTTTCTACCGGAGCAAGTACCAGCCTACAGTCCCCGCCGCGGCCTCAGTACCCAGAGACGATACCTTTCATTACATGCTAAGCACCCAATTCGAGGCCTGCGATGCCCGCCGGGCTTTCCCTTGCTTTGACGAGCCTCGGCTAAAGGCAACTTTCGACTTTCAAATCGAGATCCCCGAGGATCAGGTTGCCTTGTCCAACATGCCCGTTAAAGACACTTCGAAGGCCAAGGATGGCTTTGTGGTAGTTTCCTTCGAACGTACCCCGGTCATGAGTACATATCTTCTTGCCTGGGCCGTTGGCGATTTCGAGTACGTCGAAGCACATACCGAGCGACGATACAATGGAAAGCAAATCCCCGTCCGTGTGTACACCACCCGAGGGCTTAAGGAGCAAGGTCGATTCGCTTTGGAACATGCCCCTAAAACCATCGACTTATTCTCGGAGAGCTTCGGTATCGATTATCCCCTACCAAAGTCCGATTTGCTTGCCGTTCACGAGTTTACACACGGAGCGATGGAGAATTGGGGTCTGGTTACTTATCGTACGACGGCCGTCCTTTTCGACGAGAAGACCTCGGACGCTAGATTCAAGAATCGTGTCGCATACGTCGTCGCTCACGAACTAGCCCACCAATGGTTCGGCAACTTGGTCACTATGGACTGGTGGGACGAGCTTTGGTTGAACGAGTCGTTTGCTACCTGGGCGGGATGGTACGCCGTCAACGAATTCCACCCCGACTGGCAAGTCTGGGCTCAGTTTGTCAACGAGGGAATGGAATCAGCGTTCCAGCTTGATGGAATGCGCGCATCTCACCCTGTTCACGTCCCAGTCAGAGATGCTCTAGATGTAAACCAGGTCTTTGATTCCATTAGCTACCTCAAGGGATGTTCTACTTTACGAATGTTAGTCAATCATCTCGGAGAGAAGACTTTCCTTCAAGGAGTTGGGGCGTATCTAAGGAAGCATGCTTACGGTAATGCCAAATCTGAATACCTCTGGGAGGCGCTGGCTGAGGCCTCTGGAGCCGATATCACTGGTCTTATGGGTAACTGGATAGAGAAGATTGGTCATCCCGTATTGACCGTTGCTGAGGAGCCCGGACAGATCTCGATTAAGCAGAACCGGTATCTATCAACAGGCGATGTGAAGCCAGAAGAGGATCAGACCATATGGTGGGTACCGCTCGCCTTGCAAGGTAAGGTAGGGCAGCAGGACATTCAGAACTTGGCCCTCACTGAGAAGAGCACGACAATTCGCGATATCGACGACAACTTCTATAAGATTAATAGCAACGCCACCGGTTTCTACCGAACAAACTACCCTCCAGCTCGTCTTGCAAAGCTTAGTAAGCAGCTTGATCGCTTGAGTAACGAGGACAAGATCTCCATTATTGGTTCTGCGGCTGACTTGGCCTTCTCCGGCTACGGCACCACACCTGCTCTTCTCTCTTTCCTCGAAGGCTTCAGGGGTGAGACAAATCAACTTGTCTGGGCTCAAGTTCTAGACTCCCTCGGGCTAGTTAAGACTATTTTCGGCGACGACGAAGTTATCAAACGCGGCCTCGAGCAGTTTACTCTAAAGCTTATTAGCAGCGCAGTAGAGGAGATTGGTTGGGAATTTCCAGAAGGCGAAGACTATCTCAGGAGTTTGCTGCGAAAGAGACTTTTGCTTAGCGCCGCAGCAAACGGCCATCCACAGTAAGTTGCCCTGTTACAAGATTATATACCTCATTTCCCTATGATTAAGACTACGCTATGTTTCACATACACTCCGTTTCACCAGCTAATAAACGGTTCAGAGTCGTCGAAAAGGCCAAGTCATTATTCGAGGCTTGGGCCGATAAGGGAACCCCTCTACCCCACCCGAACTTGAGGACCGTAGTCTACCGTGCCGGTGTGAAGACCGAGCCAGCAAAGGCAGTGAAGGCTCTCAAGAAAGAGTGGTTCACCGGAGCATCTTTTGATGGAAAATTGGCCTGCCTTGCATCGCTAGGTCACGTTCGTGACCCTGACCTCATTTCTAACAGCGTCCTGCCCTTCAACAGCGACTTATCCCCACCAGCCCCTCCGTCCGAATCAGTACCTTCAGGGGACATGCATACCATTGGTAGCACCTTGGCGACTAATTCAGTTGCCCGTCCAATCCAGTGGAAGTACATACAGGACAATTGGGAGAAGTTAACAACCAAGATGGCGAATCCGGTCGTTCTTGACCGCTTCGTCAAGCTCACACTTTCGAAGTTCACCGATGCCAAGTACATCGACGAAATTGACACCTTTTTCAAGGACAAGGACACAAGCGCCTTTGACCGAACCTTGGAGCAAGTCAAGGACTCCATCCGTGGCCGAGCCGCCTACCGCGAGAGAGATGCTCAGGTCATCAAGGAATGGTTAGGCGCCAATGGTTATCTCCAGTAGAGAGAGCTTTTGTCCAAGGTGTCGTCGGTATATCTATGAAACTCGTGAAAACTCCTGCGTGAGTTGCAGCATTGAGCATTATATCAAAGCTACAAGCCATACAAAAGAATAGTAAATAAAAATTAACACATATTGTGCAATTCCATATTGATCCTAGCCTACCTACATGAGAGTTGAGATTTTCGTAGTACCAGTTGTGCGACATGACAGCTCATCGTCAAACTTAGGTAGTCTTGCTAGTACCTAATTGCAGACTACATTCTCCTTTGGGCAAATCTAAAAAGTCGTGACCGTCCTAACTAGCCTCCATGCCCCCCCATAGGGAATAAGTAAGATAGCACTGAGTCAAGAATATGATATTCTCCTCTTCTTTAGTTTGACTTAGTTATATATAAAAATAGTTGGAGGTAGCTGAACAGGAGATAAATAAGTTAATGAGCTTTCTCCTCGTTCGTAAAAACTTCGAAGCCAAACACATCATTATCATTATTATTATCAACATAGGCTTCTCGAATTACTATTATAGCAGAGAACTCTAACTCTTGTGGCAAAACGTCTAACGCCAGCCAACTCGAGCCCCTTTCTTCCCGAGGTCTCTATAATATAAGTCTAGAGCCTCTCGCATCATATAATCATTATACGCGGTCACACGCAACATTACAGGCAAACACAAAGCAAGCAAGCAAAGCATGTATCCTCATAATCTTGGTCTCATTAACCATTTACGCCAACCGACTTCTTTTTTCGCGTCTCGTAAATGCCAACGAACTTTTGGTACAGACAAACAAGGAATCCTGTCCCCCACCAACCCGATGCGCGGTGCGGGAAGAAAGCCGACGCCAGTTTGTGCCCACCCTGTTGTTTCCCTTTTTATAAAGTCAGAGGGCCGATCCAAACGCATTTGGACAGCCCACCAATCCCTTTTTTTGCTTTACAATTATCCTCCTCATGAATACATGCGCGGGCACCGAATGCTAATGTTTTTTATATCGAAATTATTCCTGTACAACCAGACGGGCAGAGTCTAGATACGGTCGAGTGAGAACGAGGTAGATCAGCGCCATGACTGTCGAGCCAGGAGCCGATCCCGAGAGATGCGGCAATAAAATCGACGGGCACCGGCACGAGACTGAATCCTCTACGACTCTTCAGTTCGTGGTCTTCCACCACGTCCCATCCCGCCGCGGCCGCGACCACGACCGCGTCCTCGTCCCTCTCCGTGTCCTCGCCAGCCACCGCGGTAGTCGCCTCGGCCACGTCCTCTCCAGCCTCCTTCGCGATCACCTCGTGGTCGGTTGCGCTGAACTTGGTGAAATCCGTCGTTCGCTTCCGCGGGGGCGCGAGACTAAATAATAGTTAGTAACGCTAGACCAGAACACCTCCTTGAAACATTTTAAAGGTATGGTAAGTAATCGTCTATTCACTAACCTCCGGTGGGTTCTCGGGCTGTTCGTCGGCCCAGGATTGGACATTGCCCGTCGATGCGGGGGTTGCCGTTAGACCGGTCTCCGTTTCGGTAGGATCTCGAGGGACCTTAACCCACTCTTCCTGGGAAATGGAGGCGCTCAGGTCGTTGTTAGCATCCCATTGAGACTCGGCGGCGGCGTTAGCAGCATCATCACCGACGTCTGCATTCTCAGGGACACCAGGTGCCGATGTCGGTGTAGACTCGGTGTGACCGTTAGTTAACGGGGCCGTAGCTCCAGTACTGTCGATCTCAGTAAGACCGGCATGGGCAACAGTTGGGTCAGTTCCATTAGTGGTCTCGACAGAAGCTTCTGTAGATTCAGCGGCTACCTCAGCAGCAAACAGAGTAGCATGAGCCGCGGACACAGCCTTAACTTGGGCGACTGGGAGAATGTCAGTAATAACAGGAGAAGGAGGTATATCGAATACACGAACATGTAGTCTGAAGCTCGTCTCCGCTAACACTGGTGGTCTTTTCTTCGGAGCCTTCGATAAGCTTAATCATAGTAGAAACAGCATTCTCGTCTCCCGAATAGACGTTAAGGAGAACACCCTCGAGCGCCATGTTCTCGTCCAGGCCAGCATCTGCCTCCTCTGTTCTTCGAGCGGCGGCCAGTCGAAGGAACTGCGACAGTACCAGCAAACTATCATGCTGGGTCTTCTTAGAGTCGGCTGCGGCTTGCTCCTTAATCTCGCTAATCGCATCGGCCTTCTCCTTCTCGAATCCCTCTGTCAAGGACTTCTCTAAGCTAGCCTTCTCGGCTGCGATGCGAGTTCGGTATTCCTCGTCCACTTTCTTATACTGGGCAAGTTGTTCCTCGAGCTGGGCAAGTTGAGATTCCAGTTGGGGCTTCTTCAGCCGCTGGGTGCGCTGGTCGGCGTTGATGATTCTAGCATTGACAAGTTCATCTAGTGATTTGTCTTTGTGCTGGTCGATTATGATATCGGTCTTGGCAGAATTGGACTGAAGGGTGATATAGTCAGATGCAAGCTCCACCAAGCAGTAAGTGATGAGGGGGGGGGAGGAGGGAGGGGGGAGACATGTGCATTAAAGAACTTACAATCTTTTTGTTTAGGTTACGGATGTTCCTAGTAAAACAAGTTAGTGAGAAGTAGAGCGCTAGAAAGCGACGATGTCACACTGACTTCTGAAGCTCACGGACGTAAGGGCTTTCGGAGCTATCATCCTGACCTTCTTGACCAGCGACGGAGCCAGCCTTCTCGGGCACGGACAGAGCAGACGGGGCTGGAGACTCGGTTCGCTCAGCCTTAGCCTTCTTCTTCTTTGCAGACTTGGACTCGGTCTGAACGAGAGGGTTCTGAACGGCAGAAGAAGGCATAACTAAGGGTGATGATTTGGTCGTGTGCTCGGCGGATTGGGTAGGTGGGATATTTTTGGGGGGGAGCTTGTTTGCTCAACTTGGCGAAATGTAGGATTCAAGGTTGGTGGGGGGGAAAAAAAGAAGAGGGATGCAAGTTCTTGCGCAAATATATTCTAGAGTGAAATTTTTTTTTCTTTTTTGGAGATTATGGTTCTAGGTAAGGTAACTAGGTGAGGTTGCGAAGTTGCGAAGTTGTGAGGTTTGTGAGGTTGTGGTTTGTGGTAAGATAGGGCGAGTTTGAAGAAATGATGCAGTTGGTGCAGTTTTTGGTTGGACTTGGTTGGACTTGGTTGGTCCTAGTCTTGGGTCCTTGGTCCTTTGGGTTTGGTTTGAAAGTGGATGTTATTTTTCTGCAAGTGCGAGTTTTGGGTCCAAAGCTCGAGATCGGAATTTTTTAACCAGGGTTACCGTTAGCTGCTTACCCTAGACCCGCCCTTGATTCAGGGCCCAACGCCCTCTAACGCTCTCCCCTAATCCAACGGCTCATGCAACGGCTCATGCAACGGCTCATGCAACGGCCCCGATCTGACAACTGGGTAAGCCTGAACCTTACGTAGCAGCGTTGGTTAGGTACCTACTTTACCCACCAGCGAAACTTGAAGAAACTCCAAGAATTATAGAGTGAAAAAAAAAAGGTCAAATTCACAACTATCTAGTCCATATAATCTTTAGTACCTAGTTTAGTTTGTACTGCGCAACGTTTCACATTTTATTCAGTTAATGCCTCTCCTATTGTTGATCCGTTTCTGTATAGTCATCCCTATCCTTAGGTACCAAGTTAGGTTTCCATGTATCTGGCCATGTTGCGTCTTCAATAAATACCATACTTGAAAGCCTTGTACCTGTGTGCTAGGCAGTAAGCAAGGCTGAGCATACGCGATCTATGCGCTATACCAAAACCACCAGCGACTTCCACCGAGTCCGATCCGGAGAAGCCTGATGTATCCACCCACTCGTTACCTCGCGCAAGGCGCGCTTGATCGAGGTGAGACAAGAACCAAAGGACACACTTCAACTATGTCTAGGCTCGGAATACGCTAAACATGCTCATTGGTTGGCTCATGATATGTATATCAAGGCTGGCCACCATAGTTCCGACGATGCTTGGTAAGCTCGTTCTATTTCATCCCTTAAACTTGGCCAGGGTATCCTTTAAGCGTATCAGTAATTCTATGCTTCGCCCCTACGAAGAAATCGCGTTAAAAACTTACCGCAGTAGCTTTCTTCACGCTCCTAGCACTTATCCCTCTTTCGCCAGCTTGTTTTCCGTCAATAGCCGCCTCCTTCATGAGTCTATAATTTATACGGTCAATATTTCAATGAAAACGAATTTGCAAAGTCAAAGAGGGGGGGTCAAACCGTACGTTTGCATGAAGAGCACGTAGTCGAGGAATATCTATAGTGATGTGCATCTAATTAGAACGCGTCGTGAACGCGGGCCAAGATAGTAAAAGTAGAGCAAGCTGCTAGCCTTACCATGACATCGACGTTCTTGCTAACGTTGCAGTTTGAATGCGCTTTCACAATCTTCTTCACCGTCGCCCTCGGGTACATCTTCTGCCCAGGAGCCATTTTGGATTATATTAAATGAGGAAGACGAGTTAAGATGTTGTCATGCCTTGCTTGTTAGACCAAAGGCGTTTAAACAATGGATTGTAAACTCGACTTGTTGATTTTGAAGATGGCAGCTTAATAAAGCCCCACCAATCGGCATTGACTGACAGCTGTACGAAGTACGCACGTTAGAGGTACATACGTATAAGTACTGAGGTACGTACCCCCGAAAGAGCTTGGGCCAGCTACCCGCCCTTGAATTGACTTGCAGCTTCCACACAGGAACATGGGGCATATCCGACAGCATTATCACGTGCTATTGTCAACATCAATTATTAATGAATTTAAGTTGGTATAATACCTAAAGACTCAAAACACTTACATCAAGTATAATTGCTATATCAATCGAATGAAGAGCTATTTTTAATAATAATATATATAATTCCCAAATAACCCTGAATATAAATATTATAATTTATTAAGGTAAATATATCAAATCTTGGCTTTGTACATCTAATGAACAGGAAATAGAGACTCCTGCAAAGTATGGCTTATCACTTTAACAGTCAGATTCTCGTGAGAGACTCTAAGCTGCTGATGATGGCATTATACTCTGACTTTGAGATAAGAACTCAACTGATCAATGAACGCTGAATATAAGGCAATAAGGTAGAAACGATAACTGAGGCTGAAAAACTAGAATTGACTGTATAGCGGCTAACTGAAAGATAAACTGAGGTTGAAGTTGCTTATGCTCCTGATCAGTAAGATGAGATGATCTTAAGACCTTTATATGGTCCGTGAGACTAGATTACATAATAAGAAGATACCCTGTAATTGGCTCTGTAACACCACACTTGTTCACTAAGCGTAGTGTATAAAGCTACACTAAATTGTAAAGAATAACAGCAAAAAAAATAGCACCGTTTGAAATACCTAGGTTACTTCTTAAACCTATTCATACAACCAGCTGGATTTGACCGCAAAACGAATGACATGAAAATGAAAATGATTCCCTGACCACCCCTATATCTTCACCTATATCTTCACACAATTATGTGCTGCCTGTTTGATTCCTAGAGGGATCCAACCCCATGTGTAAGTCACCTATGTCGTCCGTGCGAGATTGACAATTACCATTGAAGCCCCAGTCGGTTAAGTTGAAGCCATTGGAGAAACTAGATGGGTGAGTATTACTAAGAGGCACCGCGCCCGTGAGAGCTAAAGCGTTCTGATCATAATTTTGATCCTCTTGAAGCAAATGATTGGAACCATATGCTGAGATGGAGGCATTATTATATGCCTCCGGCGCCCCAAAATCGAATGAAGCAAAATTCGGAGACTCGGTCCCGCTATTTGGCATATAGTCGGGCATATAAGCCATTGGCTGTGTATTCAGATGTGCTGACGAGAAGTCGATGTTTTGAGAATCGTATTCATACTGCTGTTCGCCATTCGCTTCACCCATACCCCCATCTGGCGAGGAATACCCCGGCGTGCCGAGCATACTCAGTAGGCAATCGGATTCAGAAGAAGAATTACCCGTCACATTTTCCGCCGGAATATCAACAAATCCGCTCTCTGGTGATTCGGCCATCTGTATTTCGGGATCCGTGTAGCCCGGGGAGCTTTGTCGGGGTTGGCGGAAGGCTTTTGGCCGTGCCAGAATTGCCTCTATCCTTCCTTGAACTGAATTCATGATCATCCCAGAAAGTTTCTCCAGATCTACGATCGGGTAGGGTAATTCCTGTGCGAGAAGCACGCTGATATCCTGGGCAATATTCCATTTGGTGTACTCGTACTGATCATATACTTCGTAATCTTCTACAACAGGATCGAAACCTATTTCGAGTTAGCTTGGCAACGGCACGAGTAGAAAGGGGACGGGTAATACTATGGTCAGGTATGTTTTCATCCTCTGGGAATAAAGCATTCCACAAGTGCGCCCATTCTTTAATATTTTGATTGGCTCCCCTACTCCTCAATTGCGAGTCGACCGTTTCTCCAAACCCATTTTCGGGGTCGGAGTTTTGGGTGCCCATTCGCGATGGCGATCCAGGTGCATGAGGGCATCGTCGATAATGCATCATTAGTTCAGAACTCAACGAAAACTCTTTCTGGCACCGAGTGCATCTATCTTTGAAGTGGGCCGATGTGAGGTGCTTCCTACTGGATGTTAGGTCTCTACAATTTTCTGATGCGACATACAACAGATCCGCTCCCGTCTTTCAATCCGTCGGCTTCGTACTGGATATGGTGTTTATAGTTTCGAAAGGAATATTGGCATGATGAGAGATAGAACTCACTTCAACTCCGACATATTGGGAAATGGCTTATTGGCGCATTTCTCATAGTCGCGAATATTGAACCTGATGGGGTTGCGCTTCCTATAAGGGCAGCTAAGTTCCCCCCAAATCCGATACCCCTTATTCTTCCCTTTAACACTTAGACTATTCTGTGGAGAAGAGCCAGACTGAGATGTTCTCCCGTCTGTCGGGATCGATCCACCAGATGGAGAAACGGTAGACGTGCCAGTCAGAGGTCGGATAGCACGGGTGGACCTGCTACTCTCCCCAGCATCATAGGGGTCGCCTGGAATGGTGCGGACTCCGATATCTTCATTAGCTTCATCGTCCTGCACGCAATGTCCTTCATCTCGTAGTATACTGGCGCACTGCCATTTGACCTGTTCGAAGGCATAAATGACACGAATGGGCCGTACAAGTCGACGAAGACTTATACCAAACCATTGCGACAAAGCATCATCCGCTGCTTTCTCAAGGTCTATATCTTCATCTTCCGAGTCCTTATCCGTACTATCAAAACTCCCGTGGGGACTGGATGCATCTGCGCTTGACGAGCCGGCGAATGACTTATCGAGTATATCTAGATCTAGGCTATGGCCCGTAATCGATGGCTTGTTTGACATTGACATCCGTTGGTTTTGACAAGGTGTGATGTTGTCGTTCTTGCTGGGTAGTAAGGCCTCCAGAGAAGAAGGATAGTTAAACGGATTGCTATTAGTTTGAACGTTGACAGTATTATAAAGCGCATCTGATTCAATGCCAAGGAGGGCGGCGTACTGGGGGTCAACTTTATTCACCACCTTCGCTGCTGGATGTAGCACTGGGCTCGGGGGTGCTGAATGTAGGGGAGATGTGTAATGTGTAGAATAGGAAGCTTTATGGCGATGTCGCCTAGAGAATGTCGAATTGTATGACTTTGAATCGGAGTTCGACATAGTTCCAGTCGAAGAAAGATCTTCAGCAACATTATGGGTTTTGTGGGAACTGCTGATTGACCAAGGCATGTCTACCCTTTGCTCTTTGCTCTTGTTCTTGTTCTTATAGTATGTAATAATAGTTCATTTGGCTTGGGCTGATCGCGTTGAAAACACACCGAAATCTCAGTACAAATATATATATATCTTGAGACTATTGGGTGCAACATTCCGATTATAGTATCCGATGAATTTGTCGGTTTATTTCATGCGAAAATGAGGTTGCAACGATGGCATCACGCCATTGGTTCAGTCAAACCCAACTGAACTATTCATTTCTCAACCAATCCTACGCTGCTATATGTGATGGCTTCTGCATGAGGTAGCAGCTAATCTCATCTGACTCACTTCTGCAACGGTAGCGATTTGACGGTCAACGAAAAGGCTTTTTTAAATATTATGTTCGTGTCTGTGGCGCTGCGCTCATTTCGGTCGCGGATGCCCAGCGATCTCTTTGGTTCAAACAAAACAGTTTGGTTTTTTTCACCCTGGGTCAGCCTTCATCAACCAATGGGATGGTTTCAGGAGCATTCTCCTGAGTTCAGTGCCCATAAGCCGTCAATGTGTAAGTGTGTATAATGATTTCTGAAGAAAACGGGACCCCATTCCATACTTAACCTAGGATTCCCATTGTACATGCTTCAAAGGCTTTGCCAGATATGCCATGCTTCTCACACCAAGTAACTCGATCTCTTTTTCAACTGGGGGGGATTTCCCTGGGGACTGTTTCTCTGAGCTTAGGACCGCTTTAAGTGTACATCTAGACTTAGAGTTCAACCTTATTACGATTGATAAGAAATGATTTTTAAGATAGACCTCTCTATACACTACTACGTAAATAGTTTGACTTTTTCGCATGCATCTCAAAGCGAATGCTATTTTCCCGCGGCAAAGGACGTAGGTCAAACGGCAAGAGATCGAGAGTGATTTCTTATCAAGCCATATAAATCAACTGGGCTCTTCTTTGCCTGCTCTGACGGCTTTATTCACTGCACCTAAGACTATAGCTGTATTTGTCATTATACTTATAAGGCTCTTCTTTCATTATTTTACAATGCCTGCTGCGCATCTGCCGGATACTCGAAGCAACGATAGGACGTAAGTGTTCTGCAGTACCTTCATTCTGTCATAGTAGTGAATTTTACCGGTAGCTAAATGGATATTAGCGCTGAGAGAAGCTCTTCGAACACACAGATTGCTAGGAATTTGAGTGATAGAAGTTCTCTACAGGGCCGCCTCATTCAAAGAAGCATGGGAACTTGGAAACCCCAAGACGACAAAACCCGTGTAAAGGAGATACTTAGAAAAATTGAGAAGTATAGTAATGCATGCACATTACACAATACCACAAGCCAAAAGAAATAACCCTGAAGGTATGTGATGTACGAGCTAGGTTAAGTGAACACATTTTAATGCAAGAACTTGCTAATAGGCTGGCAAAGAGGCTGTTGAAATAATCTACCTACGTCAATTAAGTAGATCGATGGAGAAGGAATATCTACCTAACATATGTACCTAATGTTAATGTTATAGAATTATTCCTGTGGTAGTTGGTTGTCTAGTAGAGACTATTAGGGTTCTAGGCGCTACATCTAGAACAAAGGATACCCTTAGCATGTATATATTCAATTCAATGCTTCTTGCCCTACCTCGTAATAGTCTTATCTTTCTACCCCGGTCAACCTTTCAGCCGGCTTTACGCCAAGGAATAGGGGCACTCACCCGCCCATGTCGCCACCGGGTACACAATACATTATGAGGCTCTGCCGCCCGCTGACGCGTCCTCGCACCGAGTTTACCGCTTTAATTTCCTGTTAACGGGATTGATATGTCCTTAAGTGCGAGGGAGACACGGTACATTATCCACTTACATCTGATTTGTTGAGACTTTTGCACCATTCTTAAAGTGGCAAGTTTGAGTCTTTTCAAAGTCTTAATTTGTCAATATAAGTGGAATATGTACCTGTATCTCCCTCGCACTTGAGGACATAGTGTAAGAAGTTAGCAAGCCTAAGGTCGTAGGCTACAAAGATCTGAACCATATGATCTTATTCTTTCCCTAGGCCCTATTGCACCTACCTATTTCTTTGATATTCCTAATCCCTATTCTAAAGACAATCTCCTTTTTCTCTGTGGTAGCTAATGAGAGTTCATGAATTTTACTGATCTACATAGTCTGTCGAGAACTATGCCCTCAGGTGCCAGCGTGACGCCCGTACACTCCACTTATATTAGCAAATCAAGACTTTAAAAGCGCTTTAGATACATCACTTTAGGAATAGTATGTAAGTTAACAGATGCTATTTAAATAAATAGGTAACATCCGGGTTCAAGAACTGACGACATGTTAAGCGATGATATCATTTTCCGATCTGGTGGCCCAAGTCCTAAAGCTCAATAATGCGTTTGTATGGACTGTATAAACCTGGGTGAATTATACATTGCTTAAACATAAAATCATTTATTCATAAGATAAGTATATGACAAGAACAATAGATTGGAGATATATAAAAAAGATGAGCTGGGTTGTTTACATTTAAACGCTTAATATAAAGAAAATATAAATGCATAGGCTTGGTTTAAGCCAGTTTAATTTCACGAGGGTTTAAAAAGGTTTCCAAATTGAAAAATCAACCCCCCTTTTTTTATTAATTTATTTCTAGTTATATCAATACGACTAAATATAGTCCCTCTAAATCGACGCCTCATTTTTTTCTATTTTCTTTTCTTTTTAAAGAACTTTGCCAAAGCCAGTTAGCCTTTGCAAAGGAACAGCGAATGCTTTATAAAAGCGGTGGATAATAATCATAAAAGATCATCGTTCAGTAGTTTCAGGTCTTACTCCCGCTGACCTCTGGAATCATCGGAAATATTGGCCTGTTGCAGATTATCGACGAACTTCATTTGTTGACCATTGGCGTTGAAGATCTGGAGCTTTCCATTCTCGCCCACTTTACGGTACCCTTCGGAACAACAGCTGGCATACTATAGAGAAAGGATAGGTATATTCACTCCTTCTAGGCAGCCCTATCGGACGCCATGTGAGTAAGTTAGAATTTTACTAGAAGCGACTGATGGAGGAGGTCATTATGATTGCCAACCTGCGTCTAACAAGCTTAGATACCTACAGCAGCTATCTCGGAAATATTTCTAGTATACTACTGATGATTAGGGTGTAGAATATGAAAATTTGGAATTAATAATTGCTATTTAAGAAAAAGGGGAATTTGAGTGCTGAAGAATGAGACTAGTCCTTTCAACTTAGTAATCCCGCTCTCTCTTACAGAAATATCACCTCTTCGGGAGGAAACCATGATCTCACCTACAATATAAAAACTGTTAATAGAAACATTAAACAGATAACTGACCTGGCAAGTAATTGGACGCATATTCAAATACACTGCTTCCTTTCACTCAACTACTCCACAGTTTATAATACAGTAACATACTGTACATATTCACATAACTAACAACTCAATCACATCCCACCCCCATACCATAATCAGGTAGACATCCCGACCTACCAGCAAAGAAATAATGTCCTCACAAGTACCAACACCACGACAATTCCTAACATCCCTAATAGAAAGCCTAAACTCAATCCCTACCCCCCCTACCCCCCAACCCATCACAGGAGGCGGGAACCCGCTGAAGCTCATCCCGCCGGCGCACCGCCCACTCCTCACCACTCTATACGCGCTATACCCATTAACTCTCCTACCAGCCCTAGACCTACTAGACAGACATCTCGCAACGCGCATCATAATCGCACCGCCTCATTCCCAGGGAGACACAACAACACCATCTGCAGCACCCGAAGAAAAAAAGGGGCAACCACCAACCCACCACCCCTTCTACATAGTCCGCTCCGCACAACCCCAACACCCCCGGCGCGACACCGCCTCCGCCTCCGCCCCCGGCCCGCGGTACGTCGTGCGCCCCTCCGCCTGGAACTGCAGCTGCGCCGCCTTTGCCTTCGCCGCGTTTCCGCGGGGCGAGGACCGCTACGACATCGGCTCTACACCCTCCACAGCCCAGCAGACCAGGAAAGACGACGACGAGGCGCTCGAATGGCAATTCGGAGCCCTGAGCCTCGACGGTACGGAAGGGAGCGGGATCGCCGGGGTGCCGTGCTGCAAGCACTTGCTGGCGTGCGTGCTGGCTGAGAGGTGGAGTGCTGTGCTTGGCGGGTATGTGGATGAGAGGGTTGTTGGGAGGGAGGAGGCTGCGGGTTTGGTGGCGGATGTTTGAGGGGGAGGAGGAGGTAGGTGTGTATGTTGGAGGGAAATGGGTTGTCTACAATATGATATGATGAATGATGAATGAAGTGACGAGTATTCTACCCCTGGAAAGAACTTATACAGGGCTATAATGTGATAGTGTATAAACACCAGTAAATAACCATCACCCATGAGGAAGACTTAAGAGATAAAATGATGCCCTCGTCAGGGATCAGCCCCTGGTCAGAACTCTATAGATTTGCATGCATGAGGTATCCCCAACCTCGAAATCAGCCCTCGTCCAAAGAGGATTAATGTACAGGGGTTGCAGTAATTTGGTATTCCGTCTACTCATAAAAGCTCTACTATTTCTTCTTTTCCTTGTCGCTACTCTTCTCCGTAGTCTCACCCCCGACGCCATTAACGCCGTTCTCCTTCTTCTCCTTATCGTCTTTTCCTGCCGTCGCGGCAGCTTCCTCCTTCGCCTCCTTCTCTTCCTGTTGTTGTCGGTTCTGAATCTTGTTCTCGATTAAGTCGTGGAAAGCCGTGATGGCGCGGATTAAGCTGCTCAGGTAGATGGCAAGGAGCTGGTCGTTCGTCTTGACGCTCATCGCATAAGATAGTTCACCCACGTTACCGCTCTTTCCTTCCACACCGGGCTTGGGTGTCGATAGGTTAGGTAGGAGGTTGAAGATATCTTGGAGGTTTCCTAAGACTGCATGGTTCACTGGTAATTTGCCGTCCTGAACTTTCTGAAGGTATGCTTGAATGTCGCGCAATCGGAGGTGTAGTCCTTGTAACGATTGCAGCTGGTTTGTGATCCGCGTCGATAGAGTACCGATGGCTACGTCACGAATATCCCGGAGCAGGTGCTCGACACCGATCTCTTCCGCTTCCTCGGCCTCGATGGTGGAAGGTGTATGTACGAAGGTCTTGGATGTGGTTGTGCCGTCCTATTCATCCTTATATTTAGCATTTAATATATGGCGTTAGTACGGAACTACTTACGTCCTTAATCTCCTCTACCGCAAAGTACGCATCTGTCGGAACGCCAGACTCCTTAGGTTGGACGTCGATGATGACTAGTAGCGGGTTTGGCGTATATCTCTTGAAGAGTTCGTTGATCTGAAGGTCGGATGCGCGCAGCTTAGGTCCTGAGTGGTACCAGCCTATTAACTTCTCTCGGGCGTTGACCTTCTTGAACATGTCGTTCATGTTCTCGACATAGTTGTGATCTAAGAACCAAACGGACGGATCATCGCTGTCCTCCTCGAACGGAACTATATAAAGCGAATCAAGTTTAGTGGCGCTGACGTAGGCAACATAGTAAAGAGTAGATAATAATGCGACTAACCTGCAAAGCTGTTTGATACCCGTACATTCTTTCCATCGTTCTGACCCAACAGCACACCGACGACTCGCTTCCGCGTGCCCTTTGCTACCCGATTAAAGTGGTCTACGACGGAGAGGAGGACGAGAGGGGCAACTGTAACATTTTTGTTGACAAAAGAAAGCGTCTCGGCGGTCGTGGCAGGCATCTTGAGGAAGGGGAATAGGGGAATAGGGAAATTGAGAAATAGAATGGAATAAGGAAGCTTGGTTACTCAAGATAAACGAGCTTGATGGAAGTTGATAAACAGATAGAAAGGCTGTCGTATGTGAGGCTGCCTTCGCACGAAATCCCGGCAAGCTCAGCTCTTGATTGGGGTTAGTGCGGAATATGTTATGCACAGACCCCCACTGACAAGGCTGATGTAATAGGTTGCTTATGTCCACTCTTAAAAGTTTAAGAGAGATTCAATCTAGGTAAGAATTACATAAACATAACGTGGCTGAAGGAGATGTGGCTTGTTCTTTTACTGTGCGGCTAGTGGGTCTTACTCTGGAACCTTTCTGTAATGCTTTCAACGTTTTAACAGAGCAATGTTAACAGAGCAATGCCAACAGCATCTGTTTGCTACTAAGCAGGGAGGGTCATATGAATAATTAGACTAGCGAATCCTTCCGGCTGACTGAGGTAAATTCTGTATGTATCATGTTTTGACAACTAAGGACGAGCGAGCCTTGGTATCCATTTGGCCGAGTACTTGGAAGATCACGAGTCAGTGCTGGTCGTTGTTTATTTTACCACCGTGAAAGCCGTTTGGATGCAACATCCTGAACGGAATATAGGTGTAGAACGATTACCAAGGTAACAGGAAAGTCATAACAAGGAATATAATGTTCAATTTCATCAACTACATCTAAGTCTAAGAGAATCTCAAATATCGTCAACCTCGGCGGTCCAACGGAGAAAAGAATAGTAATCCGACTTTCACTTAGGTCCGTAGAAAAATAGCCGAACCCCAAGCAAGCGCCAAGCCAGAGCTTAACCTAAACGGGTAAGACGGTGAAGCTACCTCAAGCTACCTCGGTGCGGTAAGCTAAGAATTACAGGCAGATTACTGGCCGCATGCCGCTAAAAAGCAACAAGATGTCTCCACTCTTTACTGCCATCCATGGGTATGGGTCCTTCTATGCCTAGGCTGTAGCGGTTGTTGTTCAGTTGTCCCTTTCAGCCACTGGGGAGCCCCAATTGCCCCGAGCTCCAGTCTAGGTACCGATAAACTTCCAGTACGGGGACGGGGACGGTGAGCGTTTTTTCCTTTAGTCCCCTTTAGCAAGTCGCAATTGAACGTGGCAAATCTGTTCCTTGTCCCGAAAAATTAAAAAAGTAGAGGTGGCCATTCCGTCTTCGAGTTATAATTCTCGAAAAAAAAAAAAAAAAGAATATCCCGATTCCCGACTCCCCGACCTCGCTGCACGCTGCACGAGCACCACCGAAATTCCAGCTTCTAACACCTGGCAACCTTCTCTGCCAACCTTCAACTTACTACGCTCTTCTTTATCTTCCCTACCGGAATTTCCGTTGCTCCCTTTCCTTTTTTTTATTATATTACTCACTCATTCTTTTGTGACTTGACCCGTCGCCTTTCCCTTACCTAGCCTTGGTCTGGCTCAATTGATTCGTTTGAGTTGTTTAAAATGGGTATTATCGACAATGAGATGAAGCGGTTGCAGGACGTTGTGTCCGGCTTAGAAGACCGCGTACGACGTCTAGAACAGCGCCAATCCGGCGAAAGTAATGAGAGCGTGCGCATGATCCTCATGGGTCCTCCTGGAGCTGGTATGTTATTAGAAGAAAATCATTTAGGCCGAGGTATTGGTCTTAGTTGAGCGTTGCGCTAACTGCGACTTGACAACTTTCAGGAAAGGGAACGCAGGCGCCCAAGATCAAGGAGAAGTTCTCGTGTTGCCATTTAGTAAGCGCCGACACGTTCTAAAGCGCTATTTTCATGCGGATGTGAATTACTAACAGCCGTAAAAAGGCTACCGGCGACATGCTCCGATCCCAGGTCGCCAAGAAGACGCCTCTTGGAAAGGAAGCGAAGAAGATCATGGACGCCGGTGGTTTGGTCAGCGATGAGATCGTCATTGGCATGATCAGGGAAGAACTTGACAACAATAAGGAGTGCAAGGGAGGGTATGTTCTTTTTTCGCGCTTTTGTAGCAATGGTTTTTTTTTTTTTTTTTTTCCTTTTTTTTTGGCTTGTAGCCAGAACGACGTATCGAATTCCAACGTTGAACTCGACTAACCTTGTCCTAGCTTCATCCTTGACGGTTTCCCCCGCACTGTCGCTCAAGCCGAATCGCTCGACAAGATGCTTGCCGAAAAGAACCAGAAGCTACAGCACGCCGTTGAGTTACAAATCGACGACGCTCTCCTGGTTGCGCGTATTACCGGTCGTCTAGTCCACCCCGCCTCCGGTCGAAGTTATCACAGCACCTTCAACCCCCCGAAGGTACCTATGACGGACGATATCACCGGCGAGCCTCTAATCCAGCGATCTGACGACAACGCCGATGCGCTGAAGAAGCGTCTGGTTACCTACCACTTACAGACCTCCCCAGTTGTCGGATACTATAAGAACACTGGTATCTGGAAGGGCGTTGACGCCAGCCAAGAACCTGGCCAAGTTTGGATCAGCCTGTTGAAGATTTTCGACGAGAACAAGAGCCCTAAGAGCGGTGGTATCTTGAGCAGGCTGACTGGCCAATAAGCCAGCGGCTACTCTTGTCTTTGCCTTCCGCTCTCATCCTGGTTTCCTAAGATTTGGATCTAGGAGGTGAGACGCGGGCATGGATATAGGAGTTTCCAACATGAGGCGTCAGGCGGTCATCTAGGAAGGCGTCATTATTGGAATGTGATGTAGTGGGAAGGGGTATCTGGAGCCCAGGGCGCCTAAGGAGTAATGATGGGATGAAAGGAGTACCTATGGAAATAACGCGCGACTTGTATCATACGACTTGCATGTACCATGGCATCATGAATTAAGCCTTTTGAAAGGCCCTGAATCCTGTGTCTCCCTGAATGTTAGCACTAAACTTCGGTTCAGCCTGTAGATAGAAAACACGATGATTTTTCAACGTAATATCTCTTCCTATTCTATGTTGAACAATAGCTATTTTTCAGAACTGACGACTATTCATACTCCAGAGAAGGTAATATTGAGCTTTAGCTTCAACGGGGTAAGGTTGGATGACTAACTGCCAATTGAAGATAATAACTAATAGCTTAGTTACACTTTTTAATAAGACTATAAATGTCAAAGCTCAGCTTGAGAGTAACGTAAATAGTATAATTACCTAGAGATACATGTAGTAATCTCTTTCATCATTCGAGATGTACGAATTACGAAGCATAGATACAGACATGTAGACAGAAGATCATGAATATGATAAATATCCGCAAGTAGCAGTTAGTTTCTATATTGTATAGACTATACATATGAATACGACTATCTACTCGTTACCAACTTCAAGCGAAAAGCGGCCCCCCAATCGCATAAATCACTTAATACCATTACGACATATGCAGGGTCCAAAATAACATCAAATAAGACCGCTTAGAGACTACCCATATAATAGAGTATAGCTACCGGCATTATCTTTACTGATAATCCATTTCGAGTCTCAAATATATATATATATATATAAAACAGCAGCAAAAATTAGGTATCTCTCTCTCATAACCAGAAACTCCAACAACCATGGCCTTAACATTCACCACCTTCGACGTCTTCACCAAGACGGCCTTCCGCGGCACCCCCCTCGGCATCATCTACGTGCTAGCAAACACACAACTCACCCAGGACCAGAAACAGCTCATCGCGCGCGAGTTAAAACCTCTCCAAGACGGGTATTCCTGCACGAGCAGACCCCCGCCGACATCCGCGCCCGCACCGCCCGCATCGACAATCTTCACCCCGCTCGCCGAGATCCCCTTCCTTCGCCGGCCACCCCCACCCATCGGCACGGCAAACTATACTACCTCCTGCACCACCTACGCCTAGGTAGGCTCCGCCAAAATCCTATCCACCCGCGCCGGCCCCGTGCCCTTCAAACAGGACCCGAATGGCGGGACCGGCGCGCAGGTCGCCGTCGCGCATAACTTCCATATCCACCGCCTGCCGTTCGCTGGCTCTATGTATGGGGGGGTACCCCGTCGTTAGCATCGACAACAGCATGACGGCCATCATGGCGCAACTCCCGGACCTAGACGCCCTGGCGAAAACAAGACGGCGAATCTGGTCGGCGCGGAGAATACGTTTGCCGCCGCGGCCGCGCTGGACGAGGGGCTGGCGCAGCGGGCCGGTTGTTACGTATTTCTATATACGTTGATATGGGGCGCACGGCGGACGGGACGCGTAAGCTACGAACGCGCAATCTCGGGAGTCGCGAGGATCCGGCGACGGGGTCGGCGGCTGCGGGGCTGTGCTCGATGCTGAGTTTGTTGGGTGGGGTGTCGGGGTCGACAGCGACGACGGCGACGCGGTCGTTTGAAGTCACGCAGGGCGTGGAGATGGGGCGGCTGAGCGAGATACGGGTTCGCGTGACGGTGAATGCTGCGGGGACTGGGATCGAGGAGGTTTTGATTTCGGGGGATGCGGTTAAGATTTTGGAGGGGACCGGGACGGTGCCTATACCGTCTCCTGAGACGAAGGTTAAGCCTGAGTAAAAGTAAATGTAAATGATGGGATGAGTGAGTCTATGCATGATATGACACTGGAGCTGGCTTATTGCTTGTTATAGCTTTGTCGTGGTTATTGAATAAAGTGAATACATGGTGTGTAGAAGTAGGCCGTATATAAGTCCATGCTACCGACGTGCCCATTATCTACTATTTCGCCGGGTTACTATGTATCAGATGCTTCAAGAAAGGAGCGTGCTTGCAAAGTCATCATACTACCTACTATTACGAGTCGGGAATACCAGCACACGACAAAATGCGTTTAAATCAAGTCATAGACGACGATAATCACCTAATGCCTATCTTTAACTCCTCGCCTATGCTCTAACTTAGCTCTATACCCTCTAGACGACCTAACCCAACAGACGGCCAACATAAGGAGAGGATGGGAAACGAAAGTAACGTTTAAATTTTCGCAGAGGATATCTAGGCAGTAGGCCAAACGCAAGTCTACTTTAATCCAAACACGTAGTCTCAATATTATGCTATAGGGGTAGTCGTTCCGCGAGGTGAACCCAACTCTATCGCCAACTCAGCAGCTTTTTTTATAAAAAAATATGAAAAAAAGAAGGTGGTATGATTAGGTAGGTATCTTCCATTGCCCGTCCGTAAGACGAGCTACGTAGCAAACAGTCAGTCCGTCCCTCAACGCCAGACCGTCGTTCACGTCGTAATCATACAAAGGAAGCAATAACGAAGATATCAGAGGGAGCGCGCAGCAGTAATAAAAGTCTTTGACAATAAAAAAAAAAAATCCAACGCCTTTCCATTAGGTATTTCCCCCTTTCCTGCCTCCCTCCTCTCTCTGGAGGACAACAACGCCGATGGAAATGCAGTTTTGACCGAGTTGTGATAGCCGCCGAACGCCTCGCTTTTAACCCGAAGCCTTGGGCACCCGCACCCTCTGCCATTTATTTTTCTTGCCAGATCACCACCGTAACTACACGTGTAAGTTGACTGAAGGTAAGTCTCGCTAGGCGGATCGCCCCTTAGCTGCTCGAGCCGCCGGCGCACTGACGTCCCTTCTGTCCCCCGTTCCTGACATCATCTGCCTCCGGGGCGTGGCTAGGCCTTGCGCAGCACTCCTAGCTCTACCGCGGCGCTCTCTAATCTGCGCTAGCGCTTCCTCGCGCGTCATTGTTGGTGCAAGGGTCGGGTTATTGACATCGAATGACGGAACACGGTTTTGGTTAGTTGGTTCTCGAATAGGAACTGTCGTAGTAGTTGTTACTGTGTAGAAGGCAGCAGTGCTGTGAGGTCGTGTATCCTCATCTGGTTCCATCTCAACTTTCGGGCGGGCTGCTTCTTCGGCATCTTCTTCCGAGTCTGAGCGATTAGGACCTTCTAGTGGCATGGTCGGGATATTCATCATAGGGTAGTTAGATTCGCTTTGACGCGGTGCGTTGAGGAGTGAGAGGAGGGAAGTGCGCTCCTGCGCCATCAAGGCAAATGTTGGAGGCTCGACGGATGGAGTTCGAGAATAAAAAGAATGGCTTGGTGGGGGATCTTTTGGGGTCGTTGGCTCGCAGGGGGAATCCTCAGACTTCTCTACTATGTGTAGGTCCTGCTGCGAGATAGTCCTGAAGATCCCCTCAGAAGGAACAAAAATAGTCGAACGCCTGGGCTCCTTTCGTTCTCTCGGCGCCTCCTGTTGTACAACATCTTCTATCTGCGATTCTCTCTTCTCTAGTGGCGGTAGCTCTCGTTCTTGTTGTCCTGCTTGCTCCTGTTCCTGACCTTGATTGTACTCTGAATTTCTAGATTTAGTAAAGATAGGCTGCTCTACGGATTTGGGCTCCTGGCCTAAAATCATAAGGTCTGCCGGGTCCACAATCGTAACTGGCCCGGTCCGTTCTTGACGTGCAGAGGCAGCTAGACTTCTCCGCGAGCGAGACTTCACACAGGAGCAGCATCGTAGTTGACACTCAGCCTGCACAAACTCTAGATGTTCTTGGGCTCGGTCAGCTCTTTGCCTCTCCCATTGCCACAAACGTGTTAACTCTTCGATCTCCTCTTCACTCGCAGCCGAGGAAAGAATATCGACTGCCGACAAAGAAAAACGCTCCTTTTTAGGCGACGCGAATTCGCTATCCGGATCCTCCGGCGGGAGCGGTAGACGTCCCTCGGCAGCGATCCTAGCAATCTCTTCGCTCTTGGCGGCATCCTTGTAGGCATCGCGCTCCTGCTCGACAAACGCAATGCGCTCGAGGGCCTTCTCTAGCTGCTCTTGTATTTCGGCTAGCTGATAGCGGGATTTAAACGCTTCCTGCTCTCTAGCCTTGCTAAGATCCTTCTCCCTTGCTAGGGACTCTTCAACAGACTTGCAAGAACTTCGCGCAGTTTTGAGTTCTTCTTGTAGCTTAACAATAGATGACTGTGTCTTGAATACCTCCTTGCGCGCGTGTCGAATTTCCTTCTCCCAAATCGTTTTGCTGTGTTGGAGAGTTTCTTTTGCTTGTCCATATTTCTCCTGTTGATTAACGATTAGCGTAAGTACTCTACCAAGGATGAATTGTGTTCTAGCTTTAGTAAACTTACCATGACATCTTCTAACCTTTCGCCTACTTTGCGCTCTCGACCGCGGCTCTCTTCGACTTGTCGTCGCAGGGCCCTGGCCTCTTCACGATAGCGGCGCATCTCAGCCTCTGCTTCTTCGCGTCCTATCATGGCTCGTTTTAAGGCGGCGTCGGCCGTCTTTCGTTCAAGTTGTCTGGACATCGATGCCGCGCCTCCGGGGCCAAGGTGTGCTAAGTTATTGAATTGGCGGATCTTGTCGTGTACGTCGCTATCGCGAAGGTGGTCAGACTTCGTGGGAGATGGCGGGGCGGCTTCGCGCTGTTGATTAACTTTGTCAGGAGATGAAGGCTGGAGTGCCGCACCAGGCGAACCTGGCACGCTAGACGAATTTTCGACGTGAATCATTTGTTTACCCGCTTGCACTTGCGGATTTGTATAGTAGGTACAAGACAGATTAAATGTTATTCTGAGGAAGAAGCGATTATGTGCAGCATTGGGTTTGAAAAGCCACCTTAAAGTTGTGGAATGTGTTAAAGATTACTGTGTGTGGTTGAGCAGTGATAAGTGGAGGTGACAACTTAGAAATCTGGTGATAGCGGGTCGCTATGTTTATCCTCGAGATAAACGCGTTGCCAGGTCAATAAATACGGAGCCACGTGATTAATTGACAGTTATCTAACGGTCTGAAAGGTCATACTACAGCTGGAACAGGGACATTTGTGGCCCCATATATTCCGTGCGCCGACCGTTAGCACTCGTAGAATAAATTCTATTAATTTTTGTCAGCCGTTAAATAAACGATCCACATGAATTGTATGATTGAATTATGTACCTAGGAGGTAGTTCACTAATTTTATTCTCCTCTCAACAACATTGATCGACCATGATGCTACTATACGGCGGAACGAATCTGACTTGAAGTCATGTAAGCACATTTATTTTTACTAATTGGAGAACAGGACACAAAAAAAATAAGAGGCACTAGACATATTAGGATCAAAAATCTGTTATCTTCTCATACAGGTCATTAAACACGACTCAGTTTTATACGATTTTGTCCGCGCCTTTTCCCCTCCTATCCCTACGTGTACATCTCGACCTTCTCTTCGTGAGCATCTCGGCAATCAGGAGTAAGAAAAAAGTTAATAATAAACCAAGAACACAACTGAATCGAAGTCCCACAATCTCGGTGGATACGACTCGCCCGACGCCGAATACTCTTCCCAAGCGTGAGGATGAGAAGCGAATGTGAATGCCTAAAGTCCAAGCCACATATGCCCATCATACAGCCTCCCCAAGATTACCTGGCAGACAGACTACTTCCCAACTTGAATACCTAAAACTTCCGTTTCGAAAACTGATGACAGAGGAGAGATGCATGGTATCAAAAGAAAGAGATTATGCCGAGAATCGCCCCCTATTCCTATGTTAAGCGTTTTTGTCCTTCAGTGATATTTCAATGGTTTGCTTGACGTATTTCATTGCCTGTTTCCTTGGCCTGTACCTTGCCGGCTCGGAGCAGGTCACCAATCCAGGTGAGCGCTTCGCTTGTAACAACGAGGCCAGCCGAGACAAGCGCCTTGCTAGATGTTACTAGGCCATCACCTCCAACCTTCTTATACTCGGAGTTATAGATGTCGAAGACATGGTCCTTGGTTTCCAGCCCTTTGCGGACGGGGAAGAAGAAGAGGTTTTTACCATCAGTCCACAGCTCGCCGGTCGGTTTCTTCAGGGCGGGAAGACGTTCGTCGATCTTGTTCAGGGCATCCTCGCCGATCTGGTCGGCCTTCTTAATGTAAGGAGAGACATATTGGTACGGCTTGGAAAAGTACGGAAACACCGGCTTAGCGAAGGCTTTGTAGGCAGTATCACCTAGCTCTATCGACTTCTGGCCGTAGGGGTTCCCTTTAATGAAGGCAATGCTGTCGTTGACCACCGGATATCCTCTGATGTGCTGCTCCGACGTTAGTTCCGGTCCTGTATAATGAGATTCAGATGGAAGCGCGGTAAGCTTACCGACAGAGTCGCGGATGATGGATGAACCTCGCCGTTGACTTGGGCAGCCATCGTTGGGCTAAGTCACCTAACTAGTAGGAGGACCTGAGTAGAGAGATAAAAATGTTGAGGAAGGGAAATAGATAAAAGGAGCTCAAGGGCGAGCGCGAGCGTAGGTAAGTTGTTGGGTCACAACGATGATTTGTTTAGGGATTTAGGGAGATAGAGGAGGGAGTGGAAGAAGGTGAAGGAAGCTCAATCGAGGCTTATTTGTTCGCTGGATCAAACGGGATAAGATTGGGTGGGATGAGATGAAATGATGTAAAGAAAGAGAAGGAGGGAAGTCGATCAAGGTTGAAGAAATCAGCGACTAATAACTTAAAAGATGAAGTCCGTTAAAAGGCAAAAAGGCAAAAATGCGGGATGAGACAGGCATAAGGCATTATATAGGCAGTCAGGTGAAATGGGGTGCTTTTAAAACAATAAATAGGTAGTCGAGCTTGACGATGTTCCGGCGCGAACATTTCTTTTTTAACATGTGCTTCCCTCCTTTGCCTTATTACACCACACGTAAGAATGCCTTGACTCTATTTGGTCCCAGTACAATCAGTTTTTACATAATGTACCTGGCGCCATTTTGTATATGTATTGTACATTGTACATTACATGGTTATCATACATACAGACATGGCAGAGTCGCATCACGCCTTTGTGTTGGGTACAGAATTGCCGCCATTCTTTAAGGTATCCATTATTGACGCATTCCGTGCCGTTGAACCAATGAAGTCACCAGCGCAGAACTCCTCTAGTGCCGCCGTGTTTCCAGCGGGTCCCTACCTCCTAAGCTATCGAGCTTCAGCAGCTAGGTAAGAGCAAGCAGGTAAGAGCAAGCTGTAAGCTTCGAATGCGGTACCTGAAGGCTTGCCGTAGATCCGCTGGCGGGTCAAGTACACGTCGGAGGGGCGATAACATGTGTCACAGGCAAAGATACAGTACATACTAATCCCGGTGAATTTACAGGGGGTAAAGAAAGAATTATGTAGGTATTTGTCTAGTACACGTAACGTAGGAGTACTCTGACAATCCCAAAGTTGCCCCGGTCCTACAGCCCAAACGCTAACCCAAGATGGTAAAGCCTACTGTCCGGATTTGCTCTAGCGCCCTTTAGGCTCAACTTTTAAAATAAAATAAAATAATTGATTTTTAATTGATTACTAATCAATTAAAGATTGATTATAGATTAATTCGAAATTAATTAATTTATTTTTTATTTTTTAAAAAAAATTCTAAGTACGACGGATTACACGGACCAGGTCACGTGCTGATAGGTAGATAGCAGATTAGATAACCAAATACGTGAAGCTATTCGCACTTCGCATTTCGCACCACACATACTTATCCTTACACACATGCAATCATTCGGCCCTGGCTAATTACCCCCTGTTTCGTGATTATTTCGTTAATGAATTTCTTATATTTTGACAACTGAATGAATTGAATTGAATCGTTAGATTAGTCTAATATGGGACCTTAAAATGTAACCAATCAAATCCAATAAAATAATTGTGGCCCGTATCTTACCATAATAAGTTAGCGTTTGGGCTGTAGGACCGGGGGAACTTTGGGATTGTCTGTAGACTCGTAACGTAGAGGAAGCCCCCATGGCCTATGGCCCCTCCAGCCTACCTAATCTTTACCCTTGTCATTTGGCATGTGAAAGATTCGGAACTTTTCTTTACCTCTCACCTCTACACCACAGGTATACACCACTACTATGTATGGTACAACATCTATCTACATATTCGCATTCGCAATCATTATCCTTGTTCCTATGTAGTGTATCTATCCGTCTTCTTCGGTTCGCCTATCTTAGATACGCACGCACGTTACGTACTCCGTTACATTCCTGTACCTTTTATCGTGAACCAGCTTAAGACATCAACTGCCTTATCCTTATAGGACTACATATTACACCGGTATGTAAGGATCTCGGAAAGGCACATCAAGATCTTATTAGCACCGTGCTCTCTCATTGAATGTCTGTTTTAAAAGGTTACGTGCCCCATCCAATCCGATCCGAGTCTCGATTTTAAGCATACCGGATGGGAATTACCTTCATATAAAATCGAGCCAAGACCGACCATATTTACATCAAGACGCCGTCATATGCAATACTTACCTTAAATACACCTTCTTACCGTGTAGCTAACCTAACCTAGTCTACCTTATGTAGGTATTGTGGGCAATTGGCTCGCAATTGATCCTTCGCTAGGTGAACTCGGCAAGGATAAGTCCACACTTCGGCGAATGGAAGCGTGGCGGCGGCACGCCTTGATTTCGAATGGGCCGGCAAGTCCCTCGTCTTGATCGGTCTAACTTAAATCTACTTCTGGCATATGAACTACGAGCTGCAGCATTTTATTACTAGCCAGACGTGTCTAAGCGCCGAGGTATTATTAACTCGCATCTAGCTTAAACTTCCCTTCTAAGACCTTGGACAAATTTCCGGAGGCGTGCCGTATCCATCGTCTTGCCGTATCCATCGTCTTAGGAGCCTTCGATGGTTTCCAAATATTATCAAGTCCAGATCCATCTATTACGCCGAGCAATACTCATACTATACCTATGTAGTATGTATCATAGTCAGGTAGCTATTCGCAAAACTTCAACAGCCTCGGTTCAAGACGATAGAATGATAATCAACCCATTCGCCACTTGTCGTCCGAACCACTATGTAAAACCGAGGAGCTTCATTTGCAAGCACCGCCGTACTCGTCGGGGGCTATCGGACGATCCAGGGGTTCTTTGATGGATACCGATGGAACCTGAAGGGTTGCGCGATTCCGATGCTGCATGATGATTCCCTTGTCTCTTTCACGAGATTCTCATTGTTAGTACATTATTGTTAGTATGATGCATTTACGGATCCGTACTATCTGTTGTACTTACATATATAAGCCCCACTTCAATTTATATCTCACGATCCGCCAGTTGACTTTCACATGTCAAAAAGCCCCCACGAGGCTACACACAATCAAACGAATTCGCGGTCGTACAGATAAAAAAAAATCGATATTTTCTTGTCATCCCGCGACGCCACGTTCCGCCAAAAAGGATGCCAAGAACGCGCGTCTATCTACCCATGCTCCTGGGACAGATTCAGCAGAAACGATCAATTACCTAGCAGCCTAGGTCCGAAGTATATCAACTCTCAAGCAATATGTTGTGTTCATGATTATTTTTCTCTGAAAATATTCGATAGATTCGATATTTCATGATATGTCTCTATTCGCGATATTTAGACTGTATGTACTAATTACCAACGAAATCGTTAACTATTAATTGTTTAGCAATCTCCTAAACCTGCTTATCAATTGCATCAGGACGGCTTTTGTCATGCCCGGTAGCAAACAATTGTCGGTAAATGTAGATTTAATTTAGAAAATCAAGATCGAGATGACCGGCCAAAAGCTCCGCATGTTAAAGCCGCATTGCCTAAAAGTCAAAATGGATGATGATATCAGCCTCAAGGCTATCTACTTGCAATTCAATTATCTATATCATACGTATTCCCTTGTCTATAGTAGAGAACCTCGATTTCTATTTGGATTTCCTCACTGGTCTAAAGCCGTGGAAGATTCAAGCCCGAGGATTACGGAGTCAACAAGACCGTCTGAATATGAGGACGGTCGGTTTTAATCATCGACGTCAGAGCTGGAGCATACTAACTACATACTCTAGCGCGAACCATATGGCCGGTAAACATAGACTAAACCTCCACCGAAATTTTAGAAAAAGTCTAGGTTAAAATATTAAAGCGTGATTAGTGATTTTTATAGTCCACCGCCATACGTTCAATTTTGACATAATATATCGATGAGTATCCAAATCATCTGAATATGAGAATGAGACTATATTATCCGCACGAAGCTTTTATTGTGAGGTTTCACAGCATCGACCCCTCACTACCTAGTTCATATTAGAAAAAGCCCAACTACGTGTATCCGTTCGCGTTCGATGTACGACAGAGTCGGTTGCTGACGCAAGATCGTGTTAGGTAACCTAAAGGCTTGTCCGTACCACTACTTTGGTTTTCATTCTGTTAGTAACAGGACTACCTAGGTAGCCACCAGGTCGAGATAGCTCAGCTGGAGAACCTATCTATACCAAAAGAGCGACATTTAGCCCCTGGAATAGACAGGCCCTTCACCACTACTGCAGGTAATTTGACATCCGGGGGCCGTTCTAACTTCCCTTGTCTTCCTCAGGTTTAAGTTACCTAAGAGAACAAGCGATTCCCTTATGCCAACATATATATGTCAGCTATTAAAGCCCAATTCGAGTCGCACAACATACGAACGTCGAAGCTCTCCGCATTCTGACTCGTCCCCGCTCATGCGTAGTACGTGGACCTCAGCGTGATGTCTACTACCTAGCATCATAGAGCATACGGTCTCTATGCCGGGTAAGCTAGATGTTTGCTATATCACATTAGCGAATTCGACTGCCCTAGTCGCCAAGGTTTTCGAGGTATTATATGTCGTCCAGTGGTCCTCAAGCTTGGAAATATCTCATTTATGACTCTTCCACTTCGTAACGAGTATGTAACCGCTGGTGGCCAGCTTGAACGGATATACTGATAGCAGTTGTCAATACTCTTGTCCTTGATACTCACCTTGTCCAGTAAAAATCAGAGAATGGAGTATTATGACTACTATAGTCAACTTTTTGCGAGGCGTAGAGATCGAGTATGAATATTTCGGTAGCATGCAGAATATTCTATTGCATAATATTAACTTCCCGATTAGAAGATAACGCAACGCGTCGGAACGGCACCTATACGACGATGGATATTATATTGATACGCGGGGTACAGGACATGATACCGGGAATGCCCGCTGCCGTGTATAACTTCGGTTTGGATAGTTGCATCGCAGGTGTCCATCCACGCAGTGCAGGATCGTTACTGATGAGGAATGCGGAGATGGCAGTCCGATGTGACGGGAATATGACGGCATATCGAAGGAGACACGAGAAGAGAAGCATCTAGAAAATCCTCCGAGTGAGTGGCTTGATATGTGGCCATTCCCCCATCCTGCGCCGAGTATACCTATCACTTATACATAGGTAAGCAGTTTTATAACCGCCCTCTCCATTCTGATGAAACAAACATGGTAGGATGCATGCGCCGTATGTTTCTCCGCCTGATCAATAGAATCTAATAACGGGGATTGTGCAATCGTGATCGTCGGCGCATAGGTGCTACCTTAACATTGACATACATAATCAGGATTACGAAATAGAACCGGGGAAGAAAACAGAATGCACTGCTGGAACTTATAATATATGCGAGGGTGTAGCTTAGGGGCTTCCATTTTCTAGCATCTCCGTGATCTTCTTCAAGTGTTATATAGGTAGGTATGCAGTTCCTCCCAAGAAAGGTGAAGATCGTATGTCGATCTAGATGATACTTCAGTTTCGGCTTCCGACGCTGAACTTTAATTGGACTTCAGGGGAGCCCTCCGCGCCACTGAGAAGCACAAGAATCGTCTGCAATGCATTTAACTGTTTTAAGAAGCTGTCGTGAACACGATAGGGGAGGGTGAACTCAACAAACTTACTACCGTGGCGGTGGTCAACCCCAACTCGAGTAACCACTCTATAATAGTTTTGTTAATTCTATCATACCTACTGCTCAGCGTAGATGTGCGTTTAACTCGCGCATTATCAGATCGCCTACAGCAGAGTCGCATCACAGCTGCTCCCAATTATATCAAGCCACATAAGACCCATCGTCGCCTTTTAGCCTGAGACAACGGGGCCAGGGTGCAGAGCACAGCATGAGATCGACATTAGCGAGATCGGGGTTAACGACGACGGCTAACCTACGCGTGCGTGCGTTCCTGACTTAGCCGAGTTGAAACTTATATATGTATATATGTAGGTATGTATGTATGTATGTATGTATGTATATCTAGGATGGCCCGCCGGTCGAAGCCTCGACTGCGACGGTAAAAATGCCACCTACGTAGGACCCCGACACACCGTCACGTCGCAATCCGTGGTATGCCCGGCATTCGAAAGGTTCGTCTGGATATACATACCATACTTAGGAAGCCTACCTAACCTATGCAACGCTTCTGCTTGTCGCGCACGCCACGCCGACAAGGGCCGGAATTAGAAGGACGCTTTGGAGCCGAGGGGCTAAGCTAAGCTACCGATCAAGATACTCGCTTGGGTATGTCGATGGCTGCGCAGGAAGGGAAGCAATCCGCGTTTGTTTGGATACTGGAACGGTGTAATACCACGGCGGCGTGAGGTTAAGAGAAACATGGGCTGTAATATATCTAGGTTAGGTAGTTAGTCAGATAGTTGCTTGAGTTTGCGTATTGCGGCGAGGTATTTTATATCACCGAATTTCGAATAAATTGGATTAAGTGTGGCTTGAATTAGATATGCTGTAGTATCAGTTATGGACCGTTAAAGATGTACAATTATTGAAAAGTATTGCCCTGATATGTAAATTCTTATTTTGGTGCGGTAATAGAGAACTCCCCATTTAGTATAGATGTTTTGTAAGAAGCATTCTCTTATTCCCTGTGTCACCATATGTATGCTGTGGTAGTAAGTTTTCCAATCTAATAACTCTACTTTAGGAGAGGGTAATGGTAGCCTCGAAGAATAAAATCTCAATTGAGTCTTTAGTTAAATCCTATAGAGCTCATTTAGTATTATATTAGAAAATAGCGTTTGTTGTCGTCTCTCAATAGTTTCTTCTAACATGCTAAATACTCATTAAAATAAAAACAGCGCGATAATGTAGTTAAACGCGTCACTTCAGGTCCTGTAAACACTATTAGTTTCCGTATGTAAAATATTTCACTCAAGGGACTATATATATAGTAAAGTCTGGGGTGGTGTTTTATGATAGAAAGCAGTAGCTAGTGAAGAGTCTACGAGTATCATGTATGAAGGCTCTTAGGTGTCTTAAGTGGATGATAGATAGGAGTGGAAGTAGTCCTTAGTTGAGGATAGGTAGTTTTAGTTACCCGGCTTCAGCTAGACGCACTCAATCGTTCCTCTGCTGTGTAAGCCCTTCCCTAAACCTCGAAAAATATATTCAGTCTTTCTGGTTAGAATTTCATCAAATTGTCTCATACCCCTTATTCATACTATACCCCTATTCTAAGCTCCTAGACGTTTTATTTGACATGAAGTGCGTGGCGTGGCCAATGTAGACCTTTCGCTATATGCTCTATACTAAGCTAAACTATTTACTCTAATGGACAATACCTTAATAAATATAAAATTCGGCATCTAGAGTGGACTATCAGGAGAAGAGGTAGACAGGGGTGCCGACTAACGAATTGACGGACTTGCAAAATTTACCCCTATCTTACAGCTACGCGTTGGTGTAGCGATTGCAATATCCCACAGGGAACGAAAGAGTACCAGGACAGGGACTTGAGTATGAAGCTTCTAGCAATTATTTCCAATTCGACATTTTATACTCTAATTCCCCTAATTAACCCCTCTCCAGTTTCTGTTTTCCTCTAACCAGCGCCAAATCTATACACATACGCCCTTTTAATTAAGCGTCCCCAGACAGCCAGCAACGAGATCCAACTCCCTTCCCAACTACGCCACAGTCAACACCGCCCTAAGATGGACATCCCCACGCTCCAGCTTATCAATCGCCTCCTTAACACCCTCCTCCGTCATAGGAAACGTCTCGGTAATCGGCCTAATATTATGCAGCGCCGCAAACGCAAGCATCTCCCGGTGGACATTCCTCGACGCGACGAGAGACCCTTGCACGCCGATGCCTTTGAATATCAGCGGCATGTACGGGATCTCGAGGTTCCCAGAGTCGACGGAGAGGGGGTATATGGCGGAGCCCGGAGCCATGATCGGCAGGATAAGTTCCCAGCTCGGTTGCGCGGACGTCGTGACTAGCAGCCGGTCGATCAGGGTCGATACCTCGAGCTTGTCCTTGTCTTTGATGGAGACGAACTCGTGGGCTCCGAGCTTCATGGCCTGGTCCTTTTTCCTGTCCGAGCCGGATAGAACGATGACGCGGTTTCCCATCTTGGCTGCAAATTGAATCGCTAAGTGGCCGAGGCCGCCTAGTCCAATGACTGCAATTGGTGGAGTTAGCAGCTGTATTCTTCAGGGTTGGATGATGTCCAAAACATATTGAAAAGGAGTAATAAACCCCGCCCGAAGAGACTTACCACCAACAGTCTCAGTAGGCCGCGTATTATAAGCCTGCAGAACGGCAAACACCGTAGCGCCAGCGCACTGCAGGGGAGCAGCATCGATATCACTCATGCCCTCCGGGATCTTATGCAGAAACGCCTCACGGACGACAGCGTGAGAAGCAAAGCTTCCTTGGTCGACCTTATCAGTACCATACAAAGCGCGATCGACGCAGTAAGTCTCGTTCCCCGTCAGACAGTTCCGGCAATTACCGCAGCTGTCGTGTTGATAACCGAAGCCCACGCGGTCACCTTTCTTCAGGTACTTGCTGTTCGGACCTACTGCCTCAACAATACCGACGCCTTCGTGCCCGAGGATAACGTCATCGTGTAACTGTGGCTTTTGTTAGTCATGGCATGCGTAAGATGTGTAAGTGTAGGTATGTTTCTACGAACCCTGTGAAGATCTGTTGAGATTTGTTAGCTACTATTGCTCGTACCTAGTACGTAAGATGAATAGGGGTAAAAGACTTACCAGTACCGCATAATCCAGACGCCGTGATCCTCATCAACACTTTATCACCAGTGAGGTTTTCTGGCTTGGTGGCAGAGCTCTTAGTGACTCCGTTTTTGGAGCCTTTGTAGACTGTGAAGGAAGTCATGATGGAAAGGGGGTAGGTTGTTTAAGGGGATTTTACTGCAAATTTATACGGTAGAAGGATAGTGATGTTAGGGTTGAGGTTGTTGAGATGATGATTGAGTTTATGCTCGAGATCTGGTGTTCTTTTATATGTACCTAGGTAGGTAGGCATGCATGTCAGCTATGTAGGTAGTAGGCCTCTGTGTCCCAGAGCTAGACCGCTGGTATGTAGCCAAGGACAAACACCGATTACAACAGGTATTGTTCATTTCTAATTCGGCGATAGGTGAGCTAATGACAAATGTATTATATCTTTCTATTTCTTTCCTTTATAATTATGCTTTGCTAATCTATTGATGTCATCGTATATTCAACCCTTTAAAGTTTGCGACAGGTTGTAATTCTCTTCCGGCTTCTCCTTTGGGACTCGGGATGCGAGGGGCTGATCGGGCTGATCGGGCTGATCTATTTCCAGCCTACCAGCTCTTACTAACACCCCGCAGCAATAGATAGGCAAGGTTGATCTTTACAACCTTATTGATCCTTCCCGAATCTCAAAGTAACCTGATGTCATATTTAACCATGTCTATATTGGATTCGTATATTTGGTTGCTTGACTAATCCATATGCATTGCTGTACTTTATTCATAGGTACGCGAGATGAGTGTCATGTAATTTATAATTGGCTATATAATTGGCTATATAATTGCTTTTGTCGAGAATTCCACCAACGCCTCATATATATAGTGTTAAAAGAGGAATAGATGAGCTAAACTAACATCCTTTCACAACCATATCATTCCATACGCCTGAAGCACCTTGCATCTCATATGATAGTCGAAAGGGGTTAAGGAAATACGGTAACAGGAGTAGCATCTTGAAATCCGAATGCCTCTATGCAGACATTACATTAAACTTACACTTGCTGTTACCCGTATATCCATTGGGCGCCGGGGTCGCCATTCATTGTTGGCCAGGACAATGTTCCGAAGTTCCCAAAATCCTGATTGTCGAAAGTGAAGGCCATGTCAATAGACCCAGCCAACATGCCCTGCATAGGTAAACCGGTCCCATCGTTATAACCCCAATCCCCAACCGCTGTTAGTGCTTCGGCGGGGTTACCGTCGGCGAGCGCCTCATCATTTGTAGCCTCCCAACTACTAGAACCTAAAGGCGTCTCGTCCGCCTTCTGCGGCGAATCTTGGTTCTCTTGTGTCTGCTTGATAAGGATATCGGCCTGTGCGATGACATCGCGCGTAATAGCAGCCGCACTGGCCGCACTTTTGATGCTCTTTTTCCAGATATCAAAGACACCTATGGCGAGGTCAACAGCGCTTCTTGCCTCTGGGGTTGTCGAACTTTGTGGATAGGCAATCACATAGCCGATGAGCGACATGGCAGCGTTCCACTGCCACTGGGATGCCTCATGCCAGCCGGTAAGGATAGACGTCGATGAGAGTACTTGATGCAGGATACGTGTCAGTGCTATGGCGTGGCGGGCGCAGTCTGCAGCGATTTTGTCGGCGGCTGGAGTAGGCCCTGCCGTTGGGGCAAAACGGACAAAGGGACGGAATAGGTTTATGCATAGGTTGTGATACATGAGTTCCAATAGAAGACGTTGCCGCTGGAGCCAGAGCGATGCGAACTGTTCGATCTCGAGAGGGGTGAAGTCGGTCGAAAAGGGAACACCATTTTCCCCGCGTTTAGTTTTAAGTGCATTGGGGACGCCTTTCACCCAATCCTCTATTCGGTCTATGTAAGGACCTAGAAACTCCGCGTGGGATTCGATGATCTTTGGATCATTCCGTGAAGCTTGGTCGTCGAAGATACTGGTGGTGCCGAGCTGTTTCTTGTAGAAGGCCGTATAAGTTATTCGGATCATCCGGAAGAGCTTAACGTTTTCGAGGTTGAAAGTTAGCCATGTAGCGTCCTCTCCGAGCGGAGCAAATACGGAGCCCGACAGCGTTGCGCATTCCCGGTCATCACCTGGTAAGCTGCAAGTGGTATCGGAGTGATCTAGTTGGAACGGACGCCCCAGTTTCATGCTGATCTTACTATCGAAGACATAGAGAGTCCACAACAAGCGCTTTCGCATTTCTTGCTCCCGCTTCGGCATATCGTCTGGCGGCTCTAGATGAAGGCCAAGCATATAAGCCGTCCGCACGGCCAGCGTGCAGGTGCTATCTGACATATTTGGGAAAGATGCAGAGCACAAATATACGGATGACAAGAGGTGGCACTGCAGTGTTAATATGGTAGGATTCTCTAATTCGTTGGTCAATAACCTCTGGCAGCGCTGATAATACCATCGACTACCAGCGATGATATCGTTGATGTCGTCCTCGAGGCCTGGCTGTAGCGCTGTGTTATATTGCATACATAAGGCAATGACTATGTCGACGAGCGCCGACGGCTTTCGCTCTCTGCCTGATGTTATCCATAAGGATTGGTAATGCTCCTTAAATGTACCCTCATCTAGAACTAGTAGTGAGGTGTGGAGAGATTGCCAGAAGAGACTTATAAAGTACTCTTCTTGTGTTGGAGTTAAATAACTTCCTGCGATGGCGGGATCTCCTGTCACTGTAGTAGTCGGCCGGCTACTCTGGTCTCTCGCAGAGGTTTGGCTTGTTCCATCGAATAGTTTCACTGGATCTGGTAGCATGCGATCGATAGGTCGGGCTTGTTGAAGAGAAGTATTCAAGAAGGTGTTCATGCGCCTAATAAAGTAGAATAACGATGAGGCACCATACCACGTTCCTTGCTGGGAGCGGGTGGTAGGAATATGTACTCCTTCCCTTGACTTTTTCCCCTCCGGACTATTTCCATGTTCCCCCGGAGAATCGAAGGCTTCGGGACCCTCGGAGCCAGAAGGCCCGGACGAGGCGAGACTCGATGGCGTTTGAGGCGTGTTAATGCCAGTGCCAGGCTTTATAGCCTTACGCTCGTTCTCAAGTTCCCGCTCTAATTCTCTCACCCGGTTTTCTAGACGCTCAATTTTCCGATAGGCATGAGGAAGAGTACGGACAGGTATCTCCCCTTGACTGCACTGGCCATTTCTCTTCCTGCAATTCGAGCACGGGAGATGATTATCACATTTAATACGGTGTACACGGCACCAATCACATGCCCGAGCTACTTGACTCCGCTTCTGTCGAGGTTTGGGGGGTTGCGGCTCCGGAGTTAGCGGAGCGCTCGATTCGGTAGCACCCGCTGCCGTTCCAACGAATGTGGTGAACATTGGCCTGTCAGATTGACTTTCAAAATAGGTATGTATGTTAAACTTAAGATGAAGACGCGAGAATTGAAACTGGTAGGTAGCACAACAGCAAGCAGCAAGGAACTAGGGGCGAATTTGAAAAGGCGAACTAAACAGGCGGGGACAAAAGAACGGAGAACGGAGAAGGGAGTTAGTTACATAGGTACTCACTCAGCAACCTAGCAGGCCAAGATCAATGGTAAGGCGGGTGCTACGTAATACCCTAGAACCTCTTAGATTACCTAATATAATATAAAAGGGGCTAATATTTAACCGCCATCACATCACAATGTTTGTTAATTTTAAAAATGTTTTAAATGTTTTATTTTATTAACTTTACGTTAATTATTAATTATTAATTAACAAGTAAAATTATATTAAAATGTATATTTTATAAATATTATTTATATTTAAATACATTAAATATTTAAAGTATAATTAAAACAAGTTTTAAATTTTAAATACTTTATGTATAAAAAAATATTACGGGATTTTTACGTGACGTTTTAAATTTAAACCATTTTTAAAAAATGTTAATTATAAAAGTTTAGGTTAAAAGTTTTACACATATTTTTACAAAAAATCACAATACGTAATTTAAATAAACTTATAACTTAATTTTATTAAAATAAAAAGTAAAAGTTTTTAATATATACTTTTTTTATTATATTAATTTCCATATAAATTAAAATTTATTTAAAATATTAATTTTTATACAATTATTTTAAAATAATAAAAAAATTAATTAACATTAAAATATATATTTAAACTTTTATTTTACACGTTTAAAATATTATAAAATAAAAAATTTAAAATATAATTAATTATTTACCGTTAATTTTTATACGTTTATTTTAATAAATTAAAAAACGTAATTACGTTATTAATAATTTTATATTTATAAATTATATTAAAAATAAAAAACGATTAAAAAAACTATTTAAAGTTAAAATAAAAGTTTAAAACGTTATTAACGCCGTTATTAAAAATAATATAATTAAAAAATAATTTTTATATAAAATTATTAATTTTATTAATAAATTTTAAAGTTTTAATACCGATAATTTATTTTAAAAGTTAATTTTAAAAACTTTAAAAATTAAAAAATTTTAATACGTTAAATTTACAACGAAATTAAATTTAAATAATAATTAAAAACTTATTAAATATAACTTTTATATATTTATAAAAAATTAAAATATAAACGATTTTTTTATTATAATATAAAATAATAAAACGTTTATTAAATTATTTAAAATTTATAACCGTTAATAAATTTAAAAACGGTTTTAAAAAATAAATCATTTTTACATTATTTAACGTTATTAAAAAAATTATATAAAGTTTATATTTTAAAGTTATTTTTCGTATTTTTAAAAAAAAACTTTATTATTATTAATTAAAACAAATAACTGTTATAATAAAACAATATAAACAAATAATAAAAAAATATAATAATAAAGTTAAATTTAAAATTTAATTTTTTTAAAACTTTAAAATAATTTTAAAGTACTTTAAACGTATCGATTTAAATTAAAACAAAAAAAGTTATAAATTTATTTAAAAATTTATTACCGTAAAAAACGCATAAACACATAACAGTAAAACTAATGGAATAAATTAAATATATTATTAAAAAAAAGTTTTTAAACTTTTTTATATATTATTTATATAATATATTTAAAAAAAAACACTTTAATATTTAAATTTTAACATAAAAAAATAATATTTTTTTATATATATTATCGTAATATAAAAAAAAAAAATTAAATTAAATATTTAAACTTTAATATAACCGTTTAATTTATTTAATTTATTAATAATTAAGTTTTTATAATTAAAATTATAAGCATATCATTACGTAAAGATAGTCACGTGGCAACACGTGATTATTCCTTACACAAAAGGCAATTTTTTTTAAATAACACCCATACACACAATTCGTAATTAAATATAACATCAATTAATTAATATAATAACAGTCATCGTGATAACCTCATTTCGTATTGTTTTTTTTCCTTTCCTTTTTTATTCGTTACGTTATTCCTTTCTATTACCTAATCCGTACGGATACCTTGTTTTACTTACAAAAATTAAAA